TTTCGCATTCTGTAGCTATGTGCATGCAACTTTATATGCATAAACCACTGTTTATAGGTTGTAAATAAGCAAAAAGGAAGGAAATATACATATTGCACAGATTTTACAGTTTAAACTCTGAATTTATGGACTTGGATAAAATTTCCAATAAAAAACTTTTAGAATTAGATCTAAAGTAGAATTACTTTATAAAAAATGATTTAAAAAAATGGTTATCATTAAGAAACGTGTTTTTTAGTCCTTGTCGACGTCAACAATAAAATTGAATGGCAAGAAGAAAAATTTTGTGGGCGAAAATTCATCTTACAATGCAACATGCTCATCAATTGCATAGAAATTGAAAAATAATTACGAATGAATTGTCGCTGATCACTGACACAATGATTTTGTGAGAATAAGTGCAAACAAATAAATGTCGCTGGTTTGAATGCCGCTACTATTACGATAGGATTTAATTACTGCAGTTCAAAATTTAGTCTAATATTTATGTTACAGACTTGAGAATAAAATTAATTAATATGAGCTCCAAAGAACTGTGAAGTGAGTTAATAATTGAAATATCACTTTGAGGATATCCAAGGATTACTATGATTTATTATCATTTTGATTCATTATCCTTTCCCAAGTAGAGAAACAGGAATCTATTAACTTGAAGAGCACTCTTTCAGTACAGATTTGCCATTTCTTTAGTACAAAATTTTTATAGAAGAAAACCACTCTCATTTAATTTCTCGTAAATAAATTTTAAAATTTCCATTCATTTCCTTTTTCTCTTTTCTTCCTCTCTGATATGAAAGAGACTTTCACCACCTGCATACTGACCACTGCATCACTATATAGAATATATGAGAAATTCAGAATTTTACTTTAGAATCAATGAACAAACGTATCCTTAGCAGTACTACATGATATGGTAGGGTTATCAAGAACACATACAATGATAAGATAAAGGTGAATCGATATCACTTGTTGAGGCATAAGAAACGATGACTTTCGGAACTTTTTCCATCATTTTCTTATATTATTAGTGCTGTTGTCATTATTGTCAAATTAAAAAGAAATGAGAAATTGTAGGTGAAATTTTCCAAAAACGGTGAGAGAGTTTTAATTTTCTTAGTTATAGTTTACGATTATTTATAAAAAATCAATTTACCCTAAAAAGAAAAGACTGAATTGATGTGAAATGGAGAAACTTATTGTGGAGCAGAATAATAATTAATTTGAAATAACTTTACTTCCATTATCTTATCCTGCTTTTAGTATCATTTCTCTTGCTATTATTATCAACAAAAATTGAGTCATAAATCTAATAATAGCCACATGTGAGTATGGAAGAAACCTTTAATAAGTTAAAAAGGCAAAACTACAAATTCAATGCAAAAACTGGTAGAAAATAGTTCTGCTAAACTACTTCAACTGATCGGTAACGAAAGAATTAAAAGGAATAATGATATCTCGCATCAACAAATTCAATGTATCGTCGCACTTGACCTACACCAACTACATGTTTAACACCGTAAGACTGTTGTGCTAATTAATTAAACATCCTGTTCATTAAAAATATCAATAAATGACGTTGATCGACCATGAGCTATATGTTAAAAATATTGCATTTACTTATATTTCTTTTCTATTTCTGTAAAGATGTGACACTTCCGCCATTTTAATTCATAATTCTTTTTCGAAATATCAAATAGAAAATTCTATTGTTTCTGCCTTTAAATCATACGAAAATAAAGAAAGCATACATTTGATTAAGGGTATAAGATTTGCTCTACCGAAATCCTATTTAAAAGTTAATTTTATTGGTAACTAGAAGCGAGAAAAATATGACTTTCTTTTAAGTAAAAGTACTTCATAAACACAATAATTTTCCCATTACTGTTGACCTTCCAACCAAGACTTTGTTTTTTATCTGAGACACTATCGCACAAGATTCGAGTTCAAGTTAATAGAAGAGTAGACAGCTTTTATGGAAAACAATCGTAAAAATTATGAAATTTTGAGAATACAGCTGCCCAGCTAATGCTGCGCTTTTTTGATGAGAAAGACACCGTTAAGCAACCATTTTTCAGGCTTAACACCAGAGGTTTCAAAATTTGCACTTGAGACATTTCATAGAAAGTCAAAGTCTCCGATTTCACGGAATACTTAGTGTGACTGAGATGACTTTCGGAAAAAACTTCTAGAAAAGAAGTTCATGTGAATCTGCACCTTATTTAATTACATAAAAAGCAATTAATATGCATTTTGAAAGAATGAATAAACTTAATTCCTTTTTTAAATAAGAAATGTAAATAAACTATTTCTTAAAAGCTAAGAATGTTGTTCGTGATGCCCACAGAGATTTATATATTCGTCGAACTATGTTAAGTGGTCTCCGATGACCGCATGCATTTCCACTTCATTAACTATCAAGCACTGATGCAAATTTTTGGAATTTCTCCAATTCTCTATCATTTCTTTTATATTTTTTTCTATAAATTTAATCTTTTATTTCGTTTTCACAAATACAAGTTAAAGGCGAATAACCCAGTTTTTTGAAATTTATATACATATATATGTATATAAATACAATATTGGCAATGTATGTTCGTATCTTATAGTTAAAAAACAGGAAGAGCTGATAAGTTACATGTATATTATAAATGGATGCCTTTTCCAAATGGAATTTGAAAGACTGACTAATCGTACTGAGTTCAATTAATCGATTTTTCAATTACGCATGCCTTTGCCAAGGAGTGGGCACGTTCAGATTGAACTATTTGTGTTGAGTAGAAAAAGAACTAAATATCTGCATGTATATCAGTTTAGATCAAATGTATGGCATGAAATTATATCTGAAGATGAAATAAATCCAAAAATTCATTATCATTGCACTGTCATACATATTTTCAGTGTCAAAGTGTCATTGCTTCTTCGTTGCCTCAGTGAATCTTTAATCTGTTTGAAGAGGAAGCACATTTCTTATTCATCAAATATATATGTAAATATATCTAGGAATCGTCGAAAAAGATAGGTAAATTACTCTCAATGCAGAAAGATGGACTTGCAATTTCGCAATAGTGAAAAGCTCCAGCTTATAACTTTAGATGGTCCTAAAACTTAAAAAGAATAGCAACTCAAACACAATTTACTTTAAAATAACTCAGTGAATCCCAGCATCAATTCAAATGTTATGTAAATCCGTGGCTTTAATAGTATAATGCAAATGAAGAAAGCTGAAAACAAATTTCTTCTAAATAGTTTGAACAAAGTGTACGAATTAAATTTGAAACAAACAAAAATGACACAGCACTGTGAAAAGGTCGAATGAACCAGGAACAGTAATGAAACTCAATGTCATTGTTAGAATTGTAATTGTTTCACAGATGACCAGGAAAGTTGAAAAATTCTTAGACGAATTTCAAAATCTAATAGAAGAGTCTTCTATTAAATAACAAAAAATGGAACTTAAATAATTGGCAGTAGACAGGAACGCAGTAATGCATATCACTTCAGCAAGACCGGTAAATGTCAATGAGCTGTTAACATGTAATACCGGCATCTTATGAAGTGCACTGTATGTTACATATCACCTGTCCTCGACCTGTCCAGTTTCAAGCAACTGTCCTGAACAGATTGTCTAAAAGAAGTAAATCCCTCAGAAGATATAATCTTAACTCCTCTTTTCTTCTCCTTACAATTCCTGCGACTTATCAAGCGTTTTTTTTTAAATGTTCCTTCCAGTTTACGCTACCCTCCTATGCTTCTCAGACTTACTCGTAGTACTGTTGTTTTTAAATTTCGTTTTTTTCAAGTTTTAAGCTATATTAGTGCATTTCTATTACAGAGAGATAAACAATGTGCTCAAGCTTAATTACTGATCTGTCAGATTTAATTATTTGCTGCGTATCATCAGTATCGCCAAATAAATTAGGTTTAAAAATTATCGCCCCAAGCTACATCTGTCCTTTTTCCCTCTTCTCATTCTCATTTTTAAGATTATTTATTTGTATTAGTTATGGAACCTTTTGAATCTATCTTTGTTTAATTTTCCTCATATGAAGTTTTATTTCCTCAATTGTTATTTCCATTACTACATCAAAAGTGAATGATTTAAATAGGATGGAAAATTCCAGGACGCCACAATCTATTTTTTATTCTTGTACCGATAAAGACAGATAGGGTTCTAAGCGAATTCATTCGAATGTTATTTAGAAGCAAGAAATCTAAATTTATTTCTACTAAACAGTTAAATTTTTTTATTTTTGTTTTTTTTTTAGCCAAAACCTTTTCGAAGTTTTAATTAGCTTCATAAATTTCATTGAAGATAATTTCAAATTAATAATAAACTACCGTAGATGAGAGATTTGCGTAAGTGTGTCTATGAAAAGTAATATTGGAGAAGACTGGAGAAGAAGCTTATAAATTGCTTATTAATTGCGAAGAGTGAGTGGAGCCGAAATGTCCTTGTCCTAGGGAGATTAACCCAATCTATATGAGCGTCCAGCTTATAGTTGTTGTCACCATCTTTGCATAAATTTACATCCAGCCTTCAAATTTGAATTTTCTTACTTTCAGAACCTATTTAGTTCTTTTAAAGTTTCAACAACAAGTAGCATCACATTCTTCACTCCTATTATTCACTTTTCAATATATATTTGTATATAATAATTATATTTCTTATCTAATGTTCTTTCTCTCCTTGAATCATTCAATTTATCCCAACATTTATATGGAATTGAAATCAAATTCTCCTGTTAAATTCTCCTCATCAATTTTGAAGCATTTCGAGGGGATACGGTATCGGTTTATTGCTTTCGACCAATCAACAGCAAGAGAATCAAAGAATAGAAAAACGGTTGTCAAAAATATTAATTTTACTTCATGAAATTTTATTTTTCCATAATTTTTAGTTTGTAGAACTGTCGATAAGTTTTGGATTTAATGCGTTACGATTTTGTGGAGTAAAAAACGTAACATCGTTGGGACATCAGAACAACACATAACTGTTTTAAATGGGTGATCGAAACTTTCCCGATTCTAAACGCAATCACAACAATGATCGCAGTAATTTGCTTTTGGATCGATGTTGTAACAATGAGTGTAGTGCAAAACATTACTCCAGAAAACGAAATTTACCATTTAATTCGGATATTTCTGATGAACAAATACGGTAAATATGATGACAAAATTAGTCTCGTTATTTTTAGTCTTAGTCTCATTTATATTGTTTTATTGGTTGAAAATGAAAGCAAATTATGATATTGGGTTAAACAGAAGAAACATTTCAGTAAGCAATCTTCATCTGAGGAGGACAATGAACTTGATACAGCGAGCAACTATTTCGATGAAAATGATGATGGTGACAACTCGAGTACCACCGAAGAACCAGAAGAAGATAGATTTTGCAGCAATGCAAATTTTAACCAGGCATGACCATTAAGTCGTTTATGGTTAAGCACTACTGAATGATTTTTGTGAAATCATAAAACAGAAAAATACCACATTTTAATAGCTTATAATTCATTGCAGTCATTTTCCGGAACTCATGCGGTACAAACCATATCATCTTTATTTCGGAATTCAAATAGCGAAAATCAAAGTGAATTTTTCTTTTACTATGTTTAACTGTTTGGATTATTTTAATGTTTGTGCTTTGAATGGCATTTCGAAGAATAAATAAACATTGATTTCTTATTCCAGAGGGAGAAATTGGCATCGGTTATCAGTTCCATGGTCATACTGCCACTAATTTTAATACCCTCACACGTGGTTTCACAAGTGGTATTGATTCGATTTGTCACCATCATTCCCAACAGGTGCAATTTTGAAATTCTAAAATTTAATCAGGATACAAGATATCACAAGATCCCGACATGATTAAAAATGACTTTATTTACTGATTACTTTATTTATAGCTGGTTTATACTGGACACATGCCAGTTAACTCACATTATGTGGTCAGCTGCAGCACCGTGCAAGGTAACAGTACTAGCGGTAACGAAAGTTCATACGAACGTGCTAACAGTATGCCCATAATAAGTACGACTACGATAAATGGAACGATAAATCAACAAGTACTATTGAACTGCTCATTTCTTTTATCTAAAAATTAGAAAAGACTTGAAAAGATCAAAGGTCAAAATTTGGGCTGACCTATTGTTATAACAATTTGGCAAAACATTCAGTTTTTGTCTAATAGAGAAATAATTGCTTTAAAACCTAACATATTGTTGAAATTTTCTGAAAATATGTATTTCAGGAGCTTAATACAGTCGAATCGTTCATTCGACCTTCTTTCAACAGTTCAAAACGTTAGTAAATTAAGGATAAAAATTTCCATTCTCTTATTTTATGTCCTACAATCTATAATGTCAAATAAAATTTTGAGATTATACATTGATGCATTTGTTGAATATCACAGACAAATATTTTTTCATATTTCAGCAACTATTTGCAATTTTGGTCTAAGTCGTACTATGTATGGTAATTTTGGGTACACATTACCTTCACTACATGGCATGCCTGTACTTGCTTCAGAAACGTTTTGTGCCGTACCTGGTCGAACGTCATTGCTCAGTTCTACTACAAAGTATCACGTCACCATTGGAGAGATTTATAGGCGTATCTCACCACCAGAATGCTTAAATGCTTCGCTGCTTGGAGGAATTTTAAGAAAGTTTGTAGTAACCAAAGATAAATAAAAATTAATATAAATATCACTTCTTACTCAAAAAAGACTCTAAAATGTCTGGTAAAAACTCATTGCAAAAGTCAGGAATTCATCTTTCTAGTTTAATCATCTCTAATGCAATGAGCAATTAAAGTGGCAATAATATCGTAAGTCTCACTCTATACAAAGATGCTATTGTTTGAGTATTAATATTAAATGAGCAAAAAAATTCTGCTAGAAATTCTATTACCAAAAATGTAAATTTAGAGCTAAGTCAAAAGATGGTGGAAAAACTCTACGCGATAGTTTAAAGCGAGTTGGATTATCATTACCGGCGGGGCGACGAAAAGCTGCCACTGTCACAGCATGGACGGCCTTAGTGGAAGGCAAGTTTTTTTTAATTTCAAATTTGAGGTGCATAGAATCAAGTAATTATTTCAGCATGAATCTTGGTCTATTAATATAAAACCATCTTACTATAGGCATCACCAATTAGAAAACTCGGTTCCTTAAAGAAGTTATAACCAGATTCTTGTTTTTCAGAGGAAGCTTTGCAAATGGCCAAAGATTTTGCGGCTCTCAGTGAGAAAGCATTTCCAGTACGCCAAATTGCTGAATTTGTTTGCAGTCGGATGATTTGGCAGGATAACCCACGGGAATGTTGCACTTTCATCGAACATACAAGGTTCACAGAAATTAATAATGTTCAGAGAGAAGGAAGCGATTATTTCTCTTTACCTGCTTTTCTGTTTTTCAGATTATTTATCAAAGAACTGTCAGATATTATCAGCGGTGAATTCTCTGGGACAATACTTGGTAATCAACAGAACCCTAACCCGAACATATTAGCTACTCCCACTATACAGCATGGCCTTGCACATTTCTCTCTAGTAACGATACTTTTTATTTAATTCAAATTCAACAGCCAAAGATAAATTCATTCATCAGGAACTAATCTGGCAAAATCATTTTGTTATTCATCTTTTCATCTCTTATAGTTAACGCATGGCTTCGGACCTCTGGCGTTTGTGACGGTATTCGATACGCTTACTGCAATGCTTGATGAAATGCTGAAATGCTATGATCGAAATGAGCAGCATTTAAATATTCAATTATCGGATATATCCGCAACACACATACCTTCTAGCCGCTTCATTTACACTAGTAATATGTAACCTTTAACATTCTCCATTTTTGTAATAATCAGAACTCTCAGTAAAGGAAGATGTCTGATCAAAATACGGTATCGATCAAAAGAGACTTTGAGTTCAGTAATCAAGCTTCATAAATCGAACAAGACTCTTTTTCAATTTTTGTTTCAATCATATTGCATGTTCTTGTATGGAAAAAGTGCAAGATTGTTTCCATGAAAAAGGATTTGAATTGAATTTAGTGGAATTGCCTGTGAATATTAATGTAGTCAGTTTTCATACCATCATACCATTTAAAATAACTAATTAATGTTAATGAGTAGGAAAAAAGTTACTATAACAAAGGCGGCATAAAATTTACTGTTCATTCCTTTATTTGTTGTGAAAGGTTCAAATCATAAACGAACAGAATTTAAAAAAAAGAGAAGGAAAAACAATAATCGATTGTGATTTATATAAAACACTTTAATTATCAATCATTCCGACGAATACAATGGAAAAGCACTACATTTTAAAAGAATTATGTACACAATATAAGCAAACCAATGAAGTATGAAGGTGAATATTCGGGATATATTGATAAAGTCCAAGGAATACCACTGGATTTATTTTCCGAGATTACCAAAATGTAATTTCCAAAAAGACAAAAATTGGAGGAATTACTAATTTACAGTCTCTCATGTGCAATTTGTTGACTATATTTTTAGTAAATCATACCTAAGATTAGCACCGAAAGTGACTGTTACTTACTGATGCTAGTTAGATCAGAAATTAACAATTGGTTGTTTAACCTCATCATGTGGAACAGGGTGAAAGATTGCAGATTTCAAATTAAGATTAATTTCAGAAATTTGAAATTTGGTTTTTGTCATTTTCAGAAGCTTTTTGAGTATCTGGTTTTCATAAAAGAGCTAATAAATATGGCTGATGATTTGCATCTTGTCAATTTTTTGTTCTAAATAATTGCTTTAAATGTGGTGAAGTTTCATTACCCTGTATTTAAATGTCCGGAACTTCGAAAAAGCGCCAACAGACAAGGTAAAAGAAGAAAAATGAAACTAAAAGGAAACAAAAAGAAGAATTATAAATTATTTTCATAAAGTTAAGAAACAACGAAACAGAATGATTTAAATTGAAATACAGCTAACTATTTGTGCTTTGAACATTGCTACACACTCATATTCATAATACAAGTGGTTGATGAAGACTGTTTTGTGTTCGAAGATTTTTAAGGAGCTCAATTTCTCCTCCATGCAAAATAATTGATTCGTTCGTTTTAAACCATTTTCCTGACTACTGAGTTATTCTTAGTTATAGTCACTAATAGTGCCGAATTACATGCGTTTCTGGAGATAAATCTATTCCTTCATTCATTTAATCAGTTACTGTTATTCAATGCATTTCTCATTAATACTTATTACTATTGAAGAGTAAGTATAATCTTTTAAGGAAATATTTCAGAAACTGAAAACAAAATCATTTGTATTGGTACAACGATGAAGAACAGAAATGATAGAGAAACAAAATGATTTTTCATGTATTGCACAGAGTGGGATGAGAGACAGTTATTTCAGTCAAATAAAGAACAAAATGAAAAATCACCTCTCTTATCATCTATCATTTATAAACTTTAAACATTCAAATTTTGTCCTTAACCCAAAGTTTGCGTTTTTTTTCTTGGCAATTCACAACTTAATTTGAAGAGAATTACATCGCTATACTAGCACATTATTATGATAATAATAATTACTGCACTGTCCAAATTTTATAAGTGTATCATACGAAGTGAACGAAAAGGAGGTGCATTTGGTGAAAATTTTAATATTCCACTGAGAAATTGTTCAAAGGAGTAGAAGTGGAATTTGTCGTACCAGTCGCAGCCTATAACCATTCTCCACTATGCGATTTCCGAATGACCCATTTCTGATCTGCGCAACGATGCAGTGGAAGATTTGTTTTCAAAACGAGGAGGATTGTAAAAAGATTCTATGAGGATTCGATAAAAATTTGAACGAAACCATAGATACATATAAAATTGATTTTTATCATTAAACTCAATATCAATCTAGCGTCAATCAATCAATAATATATTCTTAACCACCATTACGTCTCATTAGATGATAAACGAAGTCCAAGAGCAATTATGATAGTTGAGTAAGTCAAATATTTTGGTTTGCTTAATATTTGTCAATACACAGACATTTCAAATGTTTTTGATCATATTTACTTAACTAATTCGAGATCGTGTCCAAAAGAGAACGAAGAAGGATTGAGGGGAGAAAAAATTTTTAGTTACCTACCTTAACAGTTAAAGAAATTCTGCTAAATGATGAGTCAATATTTTAATAAATTTTTATGATCAATAAATAAGTAATGCAACTCGAAGCATAAAGAGAGATTCAGTAAAATCTTCAGGAAAAGAAGTGTGCTGGCAAAATAAAGGTCTTTAGAATTAAACCTAACTTGTATAAGAATATACTGGTATTATAAAGAGTGAAAAACGAAATCATCTTACTTTCATATGAAATAGATTTTCAAAACCAAATAATGAAGTTCCAGGACTTTCTGTAAATTCATCATTCAAACAATTTCTCATAGGTAAGTTACATTTGTAATTCATTCAAAAAAGGTAAATAAGAACTGATCAGTTAATCATAAATGGAAAGACAATTAATCATAAACAAAATATTAATTTTTGGTATTGATGTAGATGAAAGATTTGATTCTGGGAAATTTATCAAATAAAAAGACAATAATTTTTAAGTAATTGTTTTCAAGCTATACTTACACTGAGCACTTGTAATACTGCTAGGAGTAAAATATAAAGTATTATGACATATCTTTCCCTTCACTGTCATACAGCCTGTAGATTTCACGTTTGTCACCTTCTGTAAATAGTCTTACCCGTCGCTCTAAATACAACAGACACTTCAAATTTCTTTAACATAAATAATGCAGCATTGTAAACGTGATATTAAGTGAGTACTACTTCCCTTAAAAATAAAATAAAGCTTCCGCATAGCCCACATTACAAAGCAAAAATGTCCGAATTTTTATACAATTCAACAAATTGCAGTTGGAACACAGAGATAAGATAATAGCGTCCGGATCGGATTTCGCTTAGATTTTCACTGATGAAAGACTAAAACAGGGTCTATGATCTTCCGGAAATATTTTCATCAATTTATCATAATTTATTAATTATTTTTTTACCACAATTTATTAATTATTTTCAAGTCATTCTAAGCGAAATGGCTTGCCCTATGAAGTAAGTAATATCTAACGAAAACCTTTCTTGTATACTAGCTGGATGAAAGTCTGTTGGCGCTGCTTTGTTGACATTAAAGTTTCAGGATGATGGTGGTGAGAAGAGTTCTTTATATAAATCCGGTAGCGCACCTTTTTCCGTTGCTTGCGGATATGTGGTGAATAACTGTCCCAGTAAACGAATGTGTTCCTGAGCATGTCCACGCAAACGTTGTATTATTTCACACAATTTTTGCATCAGTGGACCAGAATCAGCTATCTGCAAAAGTAGCAAAATGCTAAAATCCATAAATGGTTCAAATTTGATAGTTCTCTGCTGGTATAAGATTATTGAAATGTACGTGTTACAATGTCAGATCTGAAGATTCAAAGCATACTCTTGTCGCGATCTGTTGTTGTAAACAGTTCCTGAATTGCTCAATTACAAACTGTCCAAGTGAAGATCGATCCAGTAATATCCAGGCGGAGAGCAAACCCATTTCTGCGTTTGTTAATCGCAGCTGAGCTAATTCATGAATGCAACTGTGCATCTGCAAATCGAAAGCACTTTTCATCAATTGCAGAAATTCCGAAAAAAAAAAAAAAAAAAGAATCAAAAATTCTAACTGCAAACTTACTCCAAGAAAGAAATTTAATTCGGCTTGTTCACTAGGTCGAAAAATGGAAGCTGGAAAGACTTCTCGACTGAGAATCAGCGAGGTAGTTTCGGGATTGTAATGCCTGGTGACGACAATTGCAGCAAGCTCAAAAACACATCCTTTCAGCAACGCAATTTGCTCCTCCTGACTCAGTTGCATAAAGCCTTCTACCATTTTTGCAAATTCGATGATACATTGAATTATTCGAGTCAACTCTGCCGCAAATTTCTTCCAAGCATCGAACCTGTTCTAAATTTTAATTGGAAAATATATATATATGTATGTCCAAAGAACTGCACATGTATAATGAAATGTGTCTAATAAGATCAGTGAAAAAAGATTGACATGCTTTGTCGGTCAATAATGAAGACTTGACTGCTGACCCAAATCCAATAAGTTAGTATTAATACTATAAAATAAGGTAGAAAAGAGCAAATGTTTGAAAAACGGAAGTTAGAAAAAAATTAATTAATTGATAATTAATATCAGTGAAACTTTTCACAATAAATATTAATTTGTGTGTCGTGTTTGTCTGATGAAGATGAATGACACATTGCAGTTGAAATTTCTTTAACGAGATAATTTAAATGGTTGTAAATGGTTTCATTAATTCCATATTTTACCTTTTTGATGGGAAATTGAAGTGATTTTCTACCTTTTACGAGATAAGGTTTCCTTTTTTCTTTTGAGGTATGTTCAGGAGGAAAGTATTTTTCCTTATAATCCAAAATCCTATTACAGATAACCTCCTACTGCCCTTCCAAGGTGACAATTAATGACGGTATTTTCAATAGAACACAGCTACCCTGCAAACATTCTTGTACCAGGTTGTTCTTTTGTACGAAGCAAAATTACCAAGAATTCTTCCCCTTTCATCCTCCCACCCTTACACTTTTTTGGGTCATTTTTAGCGGGACGTCACAGATTTAAAGACATTCTTTCTATTAAATTCAAATAAACTGTACTGGATTATAAGACTATCAGACAATTATCAGCGGTATCAACCGATTACAAATTATAATATTATTATAAATAACAACAATCGATCATTTAAAGAATATTGCACTCCAAATATAACACTGCCAGGAGTTAATAATGTTAGCTGTCAAATCACTCTTCTAAATCTACTGAACTCTCATTGTCACGATAGTTTAAAATGACTGGTGTTTATAGCAAATATGATATCTCGCATGCCGTGATTAATCTGTCAAAAATGCTTTTCACAGCATATAAAATGAATTTTGAAATAGGTTTTAGTTTTTTTGTATTGCCGATTTTTTGTATAATTTTTTAAAATATTTGAAATATTATTAAATATCTGAAGAATTGAAATGCGACATTTCTAATTTTTTGTTATAACTGTTCTCACTAATTTTTTTCTGATTCTCTCCTCTTTTCCTTTTTCTTTTAAAGTTCTACAATTTGTCTTGAAAAGCTTTCATCATTTGATCCCGTAATTTGCTGCACTTCCATCATCTCTCGATGTTGGCTGGCACGCAAGGACATGTCATTGCAATTGAGGGAGGTCCATGACCGAAACCAGCAGAAAGCACACAGCCCACGACACCAATAAATAAATAGCCAGTGAGACTGACGTGCATACATATGAAATTCACCATCGGATTATACTAATGTACGGTAAGAGTAATCTATTGCAGGAATGGGAATTATAAAAGTTCTCGAAAAGCTTGCTTCCATAAGAGGAAGGCATTTACATTATGTTCCAACAGTATGAACCGACTCAAAATCGCTTCACATCTTACTCAATATTAATTGAGATAGCTAAGTTCAAATGTTTCTCAGATTTTAACGGATAGAACCAGTGAATACTAATTAGTAATTACACCATTAAATAGTGATTACTAATGAATATCTAGCAAATGGAGGTAAGGACTTCATAAATGTCAACATTGATTTCGGTGTTGTATGAGAGAAATTAGCATTCTCAATATTAGCAATACCGAAATTTCGAAATTTCTGTAATCTGAACTCTGAACTATTGCTGTAAGTAATATTACTTACAATCCATCATAATCGAATACAGATCATATTTTCAGAATAACGGAGCAAATAAAGATTTTTTGTTTGAAATAGATAAATATTTGTGAAGAAATTTGCATCATTTCTGTATGGATTGATTGATCTAACTTCAACTTCAGACCGTAATAAAGTAGATAGATGGAATTTTCTGATAACTAAATTATAATAATGAAGAGACAATTAAATATGTTGGTTTGCTCAATACAGCATAATACTTAGCTTCATGGGTTTGACATTCCTGCTCCATATTTGATAATGAGGGCAGAGAAAAATGAGCAGAACTAAATTTCTCTCGTCATATCCTCTGAGTGCATTGATTTTTTTGTTTGAAATTGGTATTTGTCAACTGAGAGAAATTTGTTGTAAGAATTTCGCAGACATATCATTTTAGTATGTACTTCAGCATTCATAAAACTAGTAAAAAGCGCATATTATTAACATCCGTTGGTTTGCTCAATGCAGCATAATACTTAGCTTCATGGGTTTGGCATTCCTGCTCCATATTTGAATGCATAATTTAATGTGAGAAAGTTTCTTATAAAGCAGTGCTTAAAAACCCGGTCCTCAGGGATTTACGTGTGTTAATGTGATATTACATCAGGGGCAGAATGACGTTCAAGGATAAATTATGGAATAAGTGATTCTAACGTCACTCTGAAAGCACTGGGGTACTCACCATATTGCGGTACTGTTGCTCGGTGAAGGTGCTTGTTGATGCGGCAGCCAGTCGATCTGCCGCTGTAACGGTAGTAAGACCATGTGCTGAATCAAACGCAGCCGTAACACCCGCAATTAAATCTTCATCGGGCTGAGATGCGCCGACGGTCCGTTGAGGATATCCACCACTAGGAGCAGGTACAGCTGCCTACAAAACAAGGAGAAATTCTTGGTCGAGATAGATCACTGATAGCATCTACATACATCATAGAATATTCCAGTCATTGATGACAGATATGATAGTAATATTGGATCCTGATTAGAACTACGATGGTTCCGTTGATAATGAATAAAATCATTCAGTTATCGATTCGTTTTCATATAAAAGTAAAGCAAAGGAAAAACTTTTGAAACTATAAGAATAAATTCTGAACATTATATTACCTGCTGAGCGATTGAGTAACCTTGTCCCTGAATAGAAGGATAGCTGACGGGTGCAGCTGCGGCATAGCTAGTAGCGCTGGTTGCATATGAACTTGCAGCGTAAGCCACGGATGGCTCATAACTGTTACTGTAAGCAGCAGCCGGATGTACCGGAGCTGGGGGTGAGTACTCTCCGTAGGGAGAATAAGCGATTCCTTGAACTTCAGCCATTTGTTTGTGCATTCTAACCTACAATATAGAGGATGACTCACCTTTTGCCACCATAAGATTAGATTATAGCAAAAGTAAACAAAGCTGTTAATATAAATATAATAATATAATCATAGTTAAGATATATAATGAATGGATATTTTCTTTCAGACTGCTTTATCGCTTTGATATTAGCACTTCAGGCGCTAATTTCTTGGATAAATCTATACTGTTCTCATGGAAACTATGTTTCGGTTGTTGACAATGAGTAGCTGATTCGGTAATTAACTAAATGTCTGGCAAAGAACGATGTTGCATTTCTCGATTATTTAAGCTTTTTATAGAGACAGAAGACCAGTGAGAAGATGAAACGTTACACTTGAAATGACCTTGATTTGTTAATGATGACCGCATCAAATATTTCAAATAACAACTGCACTATACGAAAGCGTGAATTTGAATTTGAAATTTTATCTGATTACGAGTTGAAATTAAAAAAGATAAAGGGCCCCGCTGTCGTTTTACTTGAAGAAACTAATGAAGTTCACAGTTCTTTGCACTCTTTTCAACAAAACTTATTCCGCCTTATTTCTCATTGCTCTAACTATAGCGGAATTCAGTTACGAATGTTGTAAAAATTTTGATTGAAAAGAGACTACTATATATTTTAATTTAATTATTGAAACCATATTTCGCCAATCTCTAATAAATACTCTTGGCGTTTTCTTAATGAAGAAAATGAGATGTATCATCCAAAACCCTATCTGACTTTGTTAAAATGCGTGAAATTGAATTTAAGAAAAAGGATTTTCAACTACATAAATGTATTCTTTACCTCATCTTCTACCTTTTCGCGTTGTTTTTTACTCATTCGACCGAATTTTACGGCATCTCGACTCATTCCAAGTTCTAGACATTTCTTCAAGCGGCAATACTGGCATCGATTGCGATTTACTCGATCTACGATGCATTTTTGTTGCCTGGGACATTGGTAGTTATTGAGAGTCGATTGGCTGCGCCGAAAAAATCCCTGTAACAATGATACTTCATTTTTCTTTTTCAGTTTTCATTTCTATGGATGTAAAAAAAAAAAGAAAAAAAAAACATGCTGATAAATTAAGAAAAATGATTATTGCTGAAGAGCAAAAGGGACAAAACGGAAATAGACACTTCGTGCTAGTCTGCTAATAAATGCACAAAACTGACTGACATCAGGTTCCTGTCATCGAATCACGATTACCATTCTCACGATTACTTATAGACCTTATTCACGATTACTTATAGACCTTATTCTGGTAACTCATAGGAACATAAGCATATCCCATGCATATCCCTTACAATAGAATTTTAATTTTGCATCTTAATTCTGCATCTTCAATTCAGAAAATTTTCAAAGGATGCGTGTAGAATTTGAATTTTGTTATTGAAAAGGAGAGAAGGTAATATTATTATCAAAGCGATGTGAACCAGAAATCGGAAAGAATGGAATGTTTAAATTACGATGAAGTGCTTGACATAGTAATAGTTCATTGTGTAGATCACGTTTTGTAGAAGAAATCAGTTTTCGGACGCGCAAATTCACAATTCAGAATCTTTCATTTCCAAATTATTGTTTATAATTTTTACATATTGGCATTAATTTTTTCGTGGGCCTTTCAAGAACTTCATTTCAGAATGAATTTTCTTGAATCAAAAACAACTGATTTATTAATTGCTAATAAAAAAAAAGCAAATTCCAACAAAATTGTTTTTGTCCAATAAAAAATGCTTCTTTTTCTAGCAAAAATTTATTGATTTATTAAAATCTGATATGAATTCAACAGGTAAACCCTTATTTTAGTAATCTGCAATAGTTTTCATAACTTTGTAGAAGAAAAGGAAAGCTCATTGTACAAATTTTGCAGTTGCTATCTTCATAATTCAAAGCCATGGTAAATTTAATAACCGAACAACTATGAAATTAGTTGTTCGGTTACTAAGAAAACTAATTTCTTTAGGAACTTTTCTTAAAATTTGAAAAGTAAGTATAAACCAAAATCTTGAAATAAGAGCATATTTCAAATTGCTATCGTTGTAAGAAATTAACTGAGAGCTAAAGAATTTGAAACAAAAAAAAAATTCATGATAATATTAAACTTACTTTGCATCCTTCACAAGTAATGACGCCATAATGCACTCCAGAAGACTTGTCACCACAAACTTTACATGGGATCACTTCAATTTGTGCTGAAACTAACCAAACAAAATCAGTGTTGTTTGCAACTCAAACTTTACTTCCTACAAACACTTCTGGGTCCCACCTTGTGCCTTCTTTGACTTTTATAAGTGGTCGTGTCCCGAGAGAGAACGTGTCACAACGACCAAGTGTTTGTGTGTGTGTGTGTGTGTAAGGAAATCTTTCATTTCGAATTTTTAAAATATGCTCTGAAGAATTTTTTTGCTATTTCAAAACTTCCTGATAGAAAATAATTTATCTTATGTGATAGATTTATCGTTTTTTTTTTTTTTTTTTTAAATTCCAGTCATTTCAATTTTTTATAAAATTGAAATGAACAAGTGAACTAATTAATATTATCTCAAATTGAAGAAAATCATCTTAAAATTAATTAAGTGATTTTATTTAGTTATATACAGTTCAACAAAGAGTAATACAACGAAATGCAAATTGCGTGTTTTCCACGATTTCAATGAGAGTAATCTTTCATTATTTTCTATTCAACCTGAAACAGTTCGCAGACTTAAATCCATTGTTGAGCTGGAACATATCTAATGATTAATTAAATTTTGATAAGTCATGTCAGCATTAATTACAATCACACAAACTCGTGCTGATCCTAATAATCATAACAATAATAATAATAATAATGATAGTAATAATAATAGCAATAATAATGATAATGATAACAACAATATCGTGTAGTAACATACTTCAAAGAATTATGCGACAAGGCTAATTACTATAAGTATTACTGTAAGTAATAGACAGGCAATTACTATAAGTAATAAACAGATAAATTACTATAACTAGCAAACAAATAAATTACTATAATTAATAAATAGACTATTGATCGCAAATCTGTGAGCTACCATATGTTTATGTTTACCACTAAAACATTCTACTTATACTTGAACTACAGTGATGTTTTCATAAACTGAACAAATAAAACTTTGAAGTGCAAAATTGAACAATGTCTTATGATAAGGACATCAAACCTCAAAATGGAATGTAAGGACGTGTAAAAGCGAGTCATTATATTTGATGACAAATACGGTAGAAATTTTAGGAAAATAAACTGAAGCTTTCCCTTCAGATCAGTCAAAGGCATAAAAGACTTCAGATTATTTCCAGCACTAAAGCCTGGCTCATATGTCTTTACTTAACGAATTAACTAATTTTTTTCAACGCGAACCCTATCAACTCATATTGAATCATCGTACATCTCTCAGTAAGTTTATTTCTCAGATCTCCTGCTTCATATCAATTGAAATATTATCCATAAAATTCCGAATTTCTACTCGAAAAATTGCTATGATTAAATGAAAACTTAATTGTCGAATCCATTAAAATATTCACAATTAAATACTGAACACTGTAAAAACTTTTAGGAGATTGACATCTAGTGAACCTTAAGTTTAAGAGACCTTAATAGACGCCATACATGGAGTTATAACTGAAATTCGAAAACAGAAATCACAGTAATATAAATTTAACTTAATCAAGCGGAAGGATGGAAATATTGAAAAATAGAAAGAAAAAATGAATAGCTTATATCATTAACGTTATTAGAGATATTTAATTAACTAATAAATAATAAAAGTTAATAAATAAAAGCTTACTAATTTGGCTTTTATATTTTTTTGATTTTGTGCGATATGTTTAAACTTTTTTGATGATATATTATTTAAAAACTGAATACTATGAAAACTTTCAGGAGATTGACATCTAGTGAACTTTAAGTTTAAGATACCTTAATAGAGTTATTATATATATAAGTTATTATATCACTGAAATTTTTAAGTCCACTAGATGTAAATCTCTTAAATTTTTAAAAGAAATGTCAATCTTCTAAAAATTTAAAAAATGAACTTTAAAAATTGTATACTTATTGATGATATGTTATTTAAAAACTGAATACTGTAAAAACTTTTAGGAGATTGACATCTGAATAAACTTAATTGGATAGTTAATGATATCAGAAAAATATCAAAGATTCCTTTACTTATCATTTAAATATTAGACTAATCAACAGATTACAACGAATGAATGAATGGCATATTGGTTGTTCTCTTAGCCACTTTCAAGACTAATATTCGATCGCCGTTGCATGACTGCGCGACATCAGTGACAAACTGTATTGTAGATTTAAATTTTCACAGTATCAGTAAGTCAAGTAATTATTTCTGATGAAGGACAGATTATAATTCAGTCTTCTGTAATCATCTAGCAATTTTTGAACTGTTGGACTTATTTTGCAGTATATTGTATAACATTACTTTTCCCTAAGCAACCGATACATATTTTCAAATTGTGGCAACATTTTGCCCTTCAAGATACTGGTGGTACTTTTTGATTTTGTTTGAAACGAAGGAAATAATAGTTTCAAATTAACCTTGTCTTTCGTTCCTTAGGGGATAGGGAAGGAGGAGAATAGTTGAGAAGAAGGTAAACTGAAAATGATAGTTTCACTGAAAATCTAGGATTCTAGGGCGCAAAGTAGCGAGTGCGTTGGATTGGTTTAGCAACAATAGTTGGTAGTAGCACTTGCATAATTGTTTAAGGGTGTTTCTATACTACCAAATACCACCATCATTGCTCTTGTTCTAGTTTAGTATTGTTTACAGGGGTACATGGTAGGGAGAAGGCTGGGGATGCGGTGTAGTGACGGCTGTTGGAAAGCAGAGCAACGGGGGAGGTTCGACACCATACGAATGGGACCCAGAAACCTGGTTTGGTAGCCCGCTTACCTCGCATTTTTGTAGAGCATCAACAACTGCTGTGTATCGTCTCTTTCTTCCCTTCGTTTTGTAAGGACCCCGATAGGCGGTAGGTTGATCAGTCAACTGGATGCAGGAGCACCGGAGAACGGACACCAATACTGTGATGATGTGGACTGGATTATTATAAGAACACTCTCCGACAGTCCAACCCCAACAAATGACGTCTTGTTAACGCGTGTTTTCGATACCTGCCACGATAGTGACGACAACGCCAGACCAGGCCAACTAAGCAAGCAAGGAAGCAACCGAACAGATACGACCCTTGTGCCTCCACTTTCTTCGTCCTTTTTGCGTTGCGCCAACCGACGTCGAGTAGGACGTCTCGTCGGCGGTACTTCTGTTACCTGCTTCTTGTAACTGTCGTTGCTAAAAGAGATCGAAGGTAGCAAAAACTGATAATTGCTTAAGGAGAACAAGAACGACTTAAATGACGCTTTCCAATGAGAAACCCGGAAGACCGTTCAAAGTAGTAGGCCCAGTTTAGCTAACTTTTCTATATAAACGCCATGAAGAGATGGCGATAATAGTAGTAGCAATGGTAGAGACTATGGTAGGAATAGCAATAATCGTCGGAACGGTGGTGAAATTTCCACCCGCAACATCTAGGAATCGGATACCGGTGACACCAAGGACTGTTGAAGTGCCGTCGCTACTGGAATGCTGCTCCTGCTATTGGAGAAACAGAACGCACAGATAGGTAGGTGGTCGCGGTCGTAGTCGTAATCGTCATCCGACGATACATCTCCTCCTATGCATGAGGAAGTGTGTGCATGTATTTGTCTTGCCTTCTGTCGTCAACTGCACAGCCCAGTTGTGGAAGTGACAGTTGTAATATCAACAGTAGTAGTAGTAGTAGTAGCAGTAGATGATGGACAGATAGTGGTCGCTGGAGGAGGAGGTCGGATCGGGAGATGCCCTCTCAACTATCCAAATTTGGCGATAACGATGATGATGGAGACGACGAACTTTCCCGAGTAGTAGTAAAACCCGTGGTAGTGGTGATGGTGTATCAGAACTCTTCCTTCTGTAATTTTGGAGATAGAGATAATGTTGGTGCGGGAAGGGGGGAACAAGGAAGGGGAAAACAGGGGGCGGGGGAGTTGAAATCGTTTTGAAAACTTTTCAATGTTAAAATAGGGATGGAGGAGAACAAGGGCCAAAACATTGTTATATGTCCGCCAGATACATACATTATTATTGTGTATTTGACTGGTACGGGAGGCGGCTGATACTGCTGGCGATTGTCCCCCTCCTCTTTTCTATCTTTCTGATCGGCGAGGACATTGACCCCCGACCCGATGGTCCACCTATGTTATTGGTGGTGACGGTGAGATGACGCGATGATTTGATGATGCGCTGCTGTAGCGCTGGGTAATCGTACCAGTAGCACGATCGGGTGAAATACTTCGTAGAGGTAGTGGTGGTTCAAAAACCCCTCTTTCCCTGTCTAGTATTGTGCGCCCGCTACGTAAAAGTTTTTCAGTAAATTTTGCAGAATTTTTCAAGAAATTAAGGAAGTGGTTAGAAGAAATCCAGAATCTTTATCATCACTTTTCCACAGATCCCTTTCTTATTCTTCTGCATTGTCCTTCCCGTATCTGTTGTGTTTCTCAATTCCTTCTGTTGTCGATTGTATTTTTTCAGCGAACCTGTCCGGTCAACCACATTGGCACAAAACTGTTGCGCTTCCCATGCCAAAACAGCGGTTCTCAGAGGCAACAACGATAATAAGAATTAGGCCAATTAGTCATAAAAAATTAATAAATAAGAACTTCCTTCTGAATTCTTTTTTCTTTTGAAGGATGGAGTAGATATGTTATGTTTGGAATAAACGAACAACTCTCACATTAAATACATCAACTTCTTTCAACAGAATAAAAAAATACCACAACATGATATATTTAAATGAGTACCTGACATCTTTTATAAGAAATGTCATCTAGAATCAACGCTTTTCTTCTTCATTACTTTTCATTTGATCTGCAAAACGGTATGGAGAATGGTATTAGCTGATTGAATTCTATGAAACCGAAGCAATGATAAACATGCATCTATTGATCTTTAAATAAGTAATGTGGTAAATGATATTTGGTGAAATATCAGTCATTATTTGATTATTAGAGTGTTGTCTCAATAACTATTCGAAATCAAGTCTGACAATCACGTATCGATCAGTTTGTCCTACGTTAAAGTAGCTATCGATCAATTTCAATTTATCTTATTGCACATCTCTTTTCCGGTTAACAAGTTTTTGCGTTAGCAATAAAATATTATAGACGGTACAATCATACATTAGAAGGGATAGGTTTAATCAGATATTTGATTATTGATATTTATACTGTTCAATTATCTGAATTGCATAAAACAGATAGAGAGGAAATAAATAAGATAGTATGTCAACACTGTTATTGCATTAGGGAAAAAAATTTGCATATTAGAGTGGAATTATTTACTTCTGAACTTGCACTGATAGTTGGAGGACCAAATATTAATCATGTTGCACACCGCGAAAGGAATGAAGGAAATAAGCGAAAGATGATGTCGCGACAAAGTGCCATGGCAAAGATAGTTAATGCGACAACATTGATCTGTGACACGAAGGTCGTTCATGGTTCAACAGACTCGGTATCCTTCAAAAACATCCATTCATTATAAATGGAAATAAATTGCTCGAGGAACTGATAACAGTCATAAAAAACCAATCAATAGATATCAGAAACCTTAAGTTCTAATAGTTTCAATTATGATAACTTTTGCCCTTCGCAAAAGTTATCCGACTGTCTTTTCATCATGCAGTATGGAGGACAGTGCATTTGATCTTTTCAAAGCTGTTCAAGCTTTATCCAACAAGCACATCCGCTAATTATACCAGCGAAAATTTCAGGTGTCAGATTTTTGACAGATAGAATTAGATTTCCAAAAACATTTCCTACTGTGCTGTAAAATTATTCAGTCAATGTAAAATGAATGCTAAAGTTTGATTTTTTAATAATCATGTTTCTTATCACGTCTTTCTATCATAATCGACGTAAATGCATGAGAAAAACGAGTCTGCTCGCTGCTTTATTTCAATTGCAGCATTTTATTATGCAATGTGTGTTTTTGCGTCACTCATTAAGTTGATGACTTACTATTGCTTTGCTACTACATGCAATTAACGTATCATAAAGGTAATAAAAACAGACAATTTCACGATGTACGATCAAATGACAGCAGTGTACGAATGATATATTGCAACAGAAAACATGTTGTAAGTAATATTTTATAATAAGCATTACAGAACTAGTAATGATTAAAAAATATATCGTTAAAAAAGATGCAATGAAAAGTTTACTTAACAAATTCTTTTTATGGTTGGACCTAAGAATTTCGCGGAATTGGGAATAAGGTAAATCTAGACTTATCGAGAAATTAAACGAGACTCGAAAGTATCGGAAAGCGCGACTTGAAAAAGTTTCACTTATCTGTATTTCTCGAATGAGTAATAACAAGAGGTCAGCCAGCCAATTTCTTTTATTTTAAAAAATACAATGCATAAATACATAAATATAGCGATAAACAAGATAAGTGACTGTTCCATCCTTCGGTTCCCACCACAAATTTAGTTGATTTTCTTAACTGTGTTGAACTGTTAGGTTCTCTATAAAATTGCTTCTTTTACGATTGTACTCTTAATTTTACACTTAAATACACTTCTTTAGAGAGTTTTATTATCCATAATATAAAAATGATAAATGCTAATCAAAAAAAATCAATTAGTCAGTTTATTAATTTGCTAATTATACTACCGAAAATTTCAGGTGTCAGATTTTTGACAGTCAGAATTAGATTTCCAAAAACATTTCTTACTGTACTGTAAAATTATTCGATCAATGTAAAATGAATGATAAGTTTGATTTTTTGATAATCATTATTAATTTGCTTAAATTTCTCTTTTGTACAGAAGCAATTCACTTAAGAAGATTGCCAACTGCACAGAAAATAAATGTCTGAAGTAAACAGCGCATTACTGTCCTCCACAGTAAAATTGCGCCAAATAAAGACAGTGCATGACGGCCTTGGGATTGTAGTTTTCACTCGAATCCAAAAGAAATCCTCTTTTAAAATTCGTCGTACGTCTTGGTGTTCAATTGAGCAGTTGATTCGGTTTTGTGGGTGAGCAGTGGTTGCTCTAAAGGCGATGAATTTATGCTTCCCATGATTTGCTACTTTGTTTCGCTGAGATTGACCATTTAAGAGTAATAAGTAATGAGCTTTCGAAAGAGGTTGTAGAATAATGATATTCGTGAGGATAGATGTCAAAAATTAAAAGAGGTGAATGACACTATTTAGCAAGAAGAAACAGCAAATCTTTGTTGAAGCGATAGGTGAATTGATAAAACAAGTAGATGAATGCATATTGGAGTTACTAGTTGCTGCAGTGTTGTGGAATGAATTATATGAAAAAAACTACAGAGACTGCATAGAATATTTTGGGGGCTGATATTTTGATGTATTTTAACAAGTAAATTCATCGAGTCTTTGTACTGTTTTGCTAACCTGTAAAGGTTTGACTTGAGCTTATTGCTAATTAATATCACATTGAGAGTTTTCGTTTGGATGAATTATACAATGATTGTCTCCATTTTTCATAATTTACTTTATAGAAACCAGCAGAGTAGAAGAAGGTCGTGAGAAAGCTTTAGAATGTCAAGAAAATCATGAAAAAGTCTTGGAAATGTGTGCTTTTATATTCTTGATGAACCTTTATACGTACGAGCTTTAAGCCAAACTTGGACGGTACGTTTTGCTGAAATTAAATCTTTTATCGATTTCTCTTTTTCTTTTATGATTACTGTTGAAACTTGTTTGTAGTATTTGATAGTTGAAATGGTACTTGAGCTGTATTCATCATGCACAATTTAAACTGGTCTGTTACTTCCTGTTTAGTTCACAGTGTACATTAATCCAATTATTATCTACATTTTTCTTGGGACTAGATGATTTCTGCATAAAAATTCGGAAGTTATAATTTTGTATTAGCTTGTCATAATGAAGTGTCTTTGAAGGTTATCTTCAACCTTTACACTGTTTACAGAAGAAAACAGTTGATGTCCTGAAAAAAGTTTTGAGGAATGTCAGCTATAAACGGAAATAATCCAGCAGTTCGTATACCAATTGTGAATAATGTTATATTAAATGATGTATTGCAATCACAGTAATTCTTTCATATTACCTTTTAATTTTTAATTTTTTTAATTTTATTAACTATAATCAATGAGTGAATGGAATTACAAAAAAGGAAGGGTAATTTGAGGTATTAAGCCACACTTCTTATATTAGTTTACTTGTCTCTGCAAGAAATATTCTCGGAAAAAGGATTGTTTCCATAAAGAATAGGTGAGATTAATCATAAAAGTTGATAAGACTAAAAGTATTGAGGATATTTAAAAGTTCAAGCACTCTAATCTTTCAAGAGTAAATTTTTTTCAATAAACAAAAGCTATAAGCTAGTGATTATAGTTGTTTGGAGAAGAAAATATAAGAAAACCTTTGGATAAAATAAAACGTAGTTAGTGTTATTATTTTCGTTTTAATCTTCCTATCAACTTCTAATATGTTCTTTTCTACTCCATTTATTTTTAAAGAAGAACGACATGTTATATTAAATGATGTATTGTTATTTATTATTATTATCAACCTATATTTGCCTTGCAGACGTGAAAACGCTGTGACAAATGGTAGTGCTTCACTTCAACCAAATCAGGTATCTGAAACGACACGTGAAAGCAGCATGCGTGGAAATGTAAAAATATATTTCTAAAATTTTCTTTTTTTTGTCTTTAAATGAACCCAAATTGTTTACTTAGTTTTTTTTTGCAGAGACTGCGTGTTGAAGATGCATTATGCTATTTGGATCAAGTAAAACAGCAGTTTGCGGATGCACCAGATGTCTACGTTAACTTCCTCGATGTCATGAAAGATTTCAAATCCCAAGCGTAAGTTTCTTAAACCTCTAAGAAGATTTAGCGGTTAAAATATAGTGATTAAGCATTTCATACTTGCCGGTAGAACAGTTAAGAAGACAAGCGAATATAACAAGATGTTCATTTCTAAAGTTTTTGGATATTGGTTTGAACTGTGAGTCTTGAGATTTGTAATATTTACACTTATATAGACAGATAAATAACTAGATGGTTATGCTTTTTTAATTTTTCTACTACTTTTTTTCACCATTTCTCCAAATTTTGTAAACAATATCACAGATTTTTAGCATTGATACACCTGGTGTAATAAAGCGGGTTTCACGTTTGTTTCGTGGTCGACCTAATTTAATCATTGCATTTAACACATTTCTGCCACCTGGATTTGATGTTTCCGTTGACGGGATAAAGGTCATCATAACTGAACCAAATGGTCGTAGACAAATCATAAATGAAAGTATGTTTTGCTTAGAAGTCGTTCTGCAAAAGATTATATTAAGCATAGCAGTGGTTAATGTTATAATAGCGGACACTCATTTCATTGTAATACTTTTTTTTTTTTTGAAACTGAAAAACATGGGAGTTGGTTTTTGCATACAACCGTATTGAAAAGATTTTTGCTATTTCTTATGGAACGTGCCACACTGTTACAGAGATTCTTATCTGTCTTTTTTTTTTTTTTTTTTTTTTTTCATGGAATTATGTTTGGTGATCTCCGAATAGCAATACTGTCATTATTATGAGTCATCCTACCTTTATCTGCTTACCTTTCCGAATCGTTTTTATTTCTGTTCCTTCTTATCCTTCTAAAAGCGTCGAAGCTTTTTTTAACAACAGAGAAAATACAAAATGAAATTGCGCGCCCTGTAGATCTTGTTACTCAATCGTAACCCCTTCTCTTCCATGTGTTAAATATGAGTAGCGTTTTCTGGAGTTCTACTAAAATTCTGGACTAAAAGAATCTGTGTTGCTTTAATTTGCATGGGATAAATTAAGTCAGAAGATATTCCGTGAATAATACATTATAATTTAATTAATGTTTGAATTTAGTGTTACTGGATATGTTTTGTTATCATTGTTTCCAATTTGTCAGAAAAATTAAAAGGAAATGATTATACACATAGTTTTCAGATCATTCTGAATCGTCCACTTCTGAATTATCAGAAACAACACAAAATTCTGAAGTGACAAAAGCTTCACTTCCGGTTGAACCTGTTGCGGATATTACTGGAGATCCATTATTAGCAGCAAGTGAAGCCAGTGCATCAGTTCCTGAATTGGAACCAGTTATGACCGGACAACAGGAAAATGAACTGACACCGGTTGCTACAGATCCGCAGTGTAGTGAAATTAGGTCCACCACTTTTTTGTCAAATCGTGTCACCACTGCAACCTATCAAGATGCTATAATGTACAGAAACAAAGTGATGGTGAGTGATTATATTATAAATTAAACATAAAGTGTAATATATCATATTGGATTGTGATGATCTTATACTTGAAGTGGAAAAGTTCTCAAAAATTTCATTTTCAGGCTCGATTTGAGGATCGGCCTGAGATCTATCATAAATTCCTTGAAATTCTTCAACGGCTTCATCGATTAACACAGGTAAAATTTACCTTCTGTTTAGTAGACTCTACGGTTACTTTATTTACATGCGTGCCTCTTGACGTCGCTGTCTAATATGCATGATTTCTTTAAAAAGAAAGACATTTCCATATTGACCAATAAGTCAGAGTGATGAGGATTGCTTTTATTATATGATAGTCAAGTGTAGTTTTTTTGTTGTCTGTATCTGAAATCTTTGAGAGCAGAATTTTATATTTGTATTCTAGTCGGAAACATATTCCTATAATTCCAAATGAATAGTTTGTATAGGAATATTTTTTTTTTTTCACTGACTAGAAATCAACAGTTATTCAGGAGTTGCATTTCAGGAGGGAGGAGTCATTCAGGGATATAAACGAGCTCTGGAAGCAGTCGAAATGCTTTTTGAAAATGACACAGATTTAGTACAAGAATTTAAGCAGCAATTTCAGCCTAGCTGTTCTGGAAATTCTTGCACATCCTCTAGTACGCTTCGAGATACAGCCAGTAAAGTAATCTTCTTTCCAAAAATTCAATCTGATTAATTTTCTTTGTGAGATTAGTCGTAAACTTTTTAGGGAAGAGTCCAGAAGAGTGGGGAACGCAGTACTTTTGTCGTTTCTCCTCAGCCTGTTTGTGTTCCAAAAGTGCAGAATCTACAAGGAATGAGTCCTGGAAAGCGTGCCGTTTATATGTGTTCTACAACAGCAGCCAAGGTCTTTTTTAAAAGCGTATTGCCATGTTTTATGTAACAGTAGCCCAACATGTTTGAATGTCTTTTGGGTACTATGAATAGTATAATATTAATAGTAGATGCAGCAAATACTAATGTAAGACGACTGAATTGTTTGAGCTATATTTAAGTTTAAGCATAGCCTAATAGTTTTTATCATTTAACACTATTAATGTTGTGTTTTGTTTGCAGAGAGCGAAATTAGGAACTATTAATATGTTAACCTATGATACAGATGTTGAAGAAGCAGCCAAATTTGGTACCGTTGAAGATTATCTTTTCTTTGACAAGGTATGCTGGCTACAAGAAGTAAGCTTTCTGATATTTTTTGACTTTTCTTTAAATCTTTTACATAATCAAACATTTTTACTGGTGTTTGGTGGAAACTGATGAATTGAAGTACTTGTGAAAAAGTCAGTATTTTAGTGTTTCATGCAAAGCATCAGAAGGTTTTTTTTTGTTGCACAATGGTATGTAAAAATTACTTAATATGTTCAAACTTTCTAAGGTCAATATTAATTTTTTTGCGTCAAATTAGCTTTTAATTTATTTCGTATTTTTGATTCTTAACAGTTCTTATTGGTAATGTTGCTCAAGATGTAAAAATACATATTTTGAATTTAAGGAGAAGTTCTAACTTACGGAAATTATTGAGAAATTTTGTAGGTACGGAAAGCTCTTATTGATAATGGTGTGCATGAAAACTTTCTGCGATGTCTTGCTTTGTATAACCAAAGCATTATTTCAAAAATCGAACTTGTGGAACTTTTGACACCTTTCATTGGGTAAAATTTTCCAAAAATATTCACGAATAGAAAATGTCAGTTTACTAGTAATTATGTTTTAGTAGTGCTAATTGCTCCTCCTCATGGCATAAATGAAAGATTTTTAAAAATTGTTTTTTTTTTTTTTTTACTTTTTGATCGTTTTTGACGCTGTTTATTGACGTCATATTTCGCACTTAATTTTCTTCAGACGTTTCACAGTGTTACTGAAGCATGTGAAAGAACTGTTGGGCTTGCCGGATATACATAATGATAGTCAACAGAACGACGACAAACATCGACGCCGACAAGCTCAAATGAACGATGACATGGAATTGGAACACAAAATTGGTAATTTCAAAAATTAGGATTATTATATAAGAAAATTGTGCTGTACATTTTTTCTTATTGCGAACTAAATTCATTCTTCTTGATTTGATATGACTTCATGCGTCTTCTAAGACAAAAAAATTTCAGATTATGCTACATGTCGAAGACTGGGTGTTAGTTATAGGTCTTTACCTGAATCATACGAAAAGCCACTTTGTTCTGGTCGAACATCTCTTTGTGAATCAGTCCTCAACGATTCATGGGTTTCATTTCCGTGTTGGTCTTCTGAGGATAGTTCAGCCGTCCATTCTAAGAAAACACAGTTTGAAGAGTTTGTATTTCGCACGGAGGATGAACGTTATGAGGTTTGTGTAAATGTCACATGTTTCTTCATTTCTTTAATTAAATAATGTGTTTTAGAAGATGAATTTTTCAGCTGGACATCGTAATTGAAGTGAACAAAACAGCTTTAGAGGTTTTGGAAATGGTTCAACGAAAGATGTTGCGAATGAAAAATGAGGAATTGAAATGTTTTCGTTTGGGTCCTTCTTTGGGTGGCAGTTCTAATTCGATAATGTTACGCGCACTACAGCGAATTTATGGGTAAAGTTATAGAACTTTCTAAATTGCATCAAACTGAAGTAGTAAAAAGTAAGTAATTTTAGCAGTTGAACTTGTGGAGATTTATTTTTTTAGGGATCATACCGTAAAGATGTTGGAAGGAGCAATGAAAAGTCCTCAAGTTATGATACCAAGACTAATTGAACGAATGCGGCAAAAAGATGTCGAATGGCGTAAAAATCAAGAACTGTGTAATCGTATCTGGCGTGAAGAAACAGAGAAACATTACACAAAAAGTCTAGATCATCAAGCAGTAATCTTTAAGCAAAATGATTTAAAACTACTTCGTGCGAAAACGATCGTGAGCCAGTTCGAAAATTTATATGATGAGGTAAGGTATTGCATTTGAATTCATTCCGTAATTTTTTCTGTTGAGATTTAACGAAATAGTAACCAAAATAATTTTAATTAGTAACAACCAGAACGTAAATGAAAGGATTGATTTTTTAAAGTCATGTTATTTTTTAAGTACGGTGAGTCCAAGATAGTGAATTTCATGTCCAGAGAAGTCGATATCGTTTAGCTGAGTCTTAGTCTAATTTTCTCTCTTTTGAAAATTGTAACAAAGTGATAATCTGTTCGATTTGTTTCTAGTATTTTCCGATTCCTTATATTTGCAGAAAGTACAGCTTTGTTAGAACTAGGTTAAGTGAAACGCGTGTTTTAATCCAGTTCTGTTGATAATTTAGCGTGCTGATCGAAATGATGAAGGTGAATCGGTGGAATATGGACCACATTGTGTTTATTCATATCCGGAAGATATACGTGTCCTGTATGATGTTAACGATTTAATAATACATTATGTGAAACGACAGGCAAACATTCAGAAAGAGGAAAAACGTCATGCAAAACGTTATCTGAAACGTTTTGTTCCGGAATTATTCAATATTCCGCCCCAAGAGTTAAGTGATGAGGAGGAAGTAGAAGGACGAGATCGTATCGGTTCGTAATTTAAAAAAATTTTTTTTTGCTGAAAGGATTTAATGAATAAAAGTATTTATTGTATTCTTCTTCATATAATATAATTTTTACATTAGTTTTTTTGATGGACAATACATTATCTGGTGCTTAATGCTATAATGATATTAAAGATCAAAATTCTGAAGAGCAAAATGTTGGATTGAACACAGACGAAGCTCAAAAGATAAGTGACGATGTGGATTCGAAAAATGTATGATAAGTGAAGACACTTTATAGAAATATTTATTATTGCAAGATGTATCTTTTTTTGGAATTAGACATGGCATATATTTTTCCGACGTAATTAAGAATTGTAGCAAAGTAGCAGATGTTGTTTAATTCTTAGCTTAGGGAATTATCGCTTCTTAAACAGAATAAATTTTCTTCTTTTGATAAAGGTCCTTTCCGTTGTGTAACTCTCAACAAGTTCGAATTTTAAAGTGTATTAGGTTTATTGGTTACGTAGTATATGCTGGATTTCAAGCAGTTGTTTGGCCTTTTTTAGTTTGAAGTTTTCGAACTGCAAATTTTTGAAATGTAATGTTTTAAGGCTCAATTTTCAAATGAAACCGAAACATCTACATATCGTCTTTTCTATGGTGCCAACACATGGTGCATATTCATTAGACTTCATCATTTAATGTGTGATCGATTGGCGTATTTGAAGAAAAAACATCAAGAAATTATTAAGAATCATGAAGTAATTTACAGCATATTCATTTTTTAGCTTTAAAAAACCAATACTAACTGGTATTTTGAATGTGTTTTGACTTTTAAGCCTTGAAAAACAAGCCTATTTTCTCGGATCTTAAATTCATTATTTAAGAAGCAAGATGTTATATAGAATCATTAGGAGCTAAAATTTTTTTATAAGAAATCATTTTTAATTTTTTGTAATAATTTTCCATATGATTTAGGAAGTATAATGAATTGTTCAGGTAGAAGAGCGCATACGGATGGAACGAGAATCTGTAATAAACCGATGTACCGGTGATGGTGGTTCGTTGGAATCAGTTGAACTAGATACAAAACTTGGTTTGTCTTTGCTGAAACCGGATACCCAAAATCCGGTTAACTACTACGTTGCATTGATCAATGAAGTCAAAAATCTTTTGGATGGTCTTATTGATAGTGTTGCTTTTGAAGACAACATCAGGTAAAGTGATAGCGAATTGATTGAAGCATTTTGTAACATGCAACGGGCCTTATTCAAATTATATCAGTTTATTGTGTTTTTTTTTTTTTTCAGAAAAATGTTCGGGACAGCTGCTTATTTAACATTTACAATGGATAAAATTATCATGACAATTGCACGGCAACTACAAAACATGTCTTGCGAGGATGCGAACGTTGCTAGTATGGATCTGTATAAAAAATACCGTTTTGAGCGTCCCGTCAGTTTGTACAGTCGAGACAAAAATGAAGAAAATATTGATGATGCTTATGAACGGGCTGCACAAGAAGTGCTTGTTAATCAAAACTGTTTCAAAACTTTCTTCCTTCATGATACTCGAAGCGTTACGATGGAACTGATTGACAGTAATGTCACCGAAGAAGGAGAGAAAGGTGACAGTGACCAAGAGTGGAGTCGTTACGTACATCACTATGTTGAGGTTGAATAAATTTTCTAGTAATTTTTTCATTTATTAACGCATCCTATTTTTATTCATTGTAGTGCGTCGCTTAACATTGATTATGTATATTACTTAATTTTTTCATCTATTCAGGAAATATATAGGTTTATATAGTTTTTTTAGAGTCTTACTAATGAACCGTCATCATCAGCATTAAGTCAGGAAGATCAGCAGCAGATGCTCGAGACCATTGGTGAAAGACCTCCTTTATTTCTTATGAAATATATCAAAGCGGGAATAGACAAGTACAGGTCTGTTCTTATGGCAGGTTGCTTTCCTATAGTGCTTCGAAACAGATTGTTGTTTTGTTTTAATTATTCCATTCTTAATATTCCTTATTGTCATCAGTTTTAGAAAGAGGAACGATGAAACGAGTAAAAAGAATGAAGATGGAAATGGAGAACAGAAGTTGGAAGAGAAATTGTCCTTTACGGTGAGTGAAGACTTAAGCGCTCTGTTTTCTCCAGCTGGAAATTATAAAATGCGATTTACTAAGGGTTCAGGTGATCTTTTGATAAGAACCGGAGCACCGCGAAAAGGGATGGATGTAAGTTTACGATTTATTTGGTTTCATTCATTCATTGATTTATTTGCTCAGTTTCAGAAATAGCTGATTAATCTGCTTTAAGAAGTTGTGTTCTGATTGGAGGCTGTAGAAAATATTTTTAACAGTTACTTATATGCTGCTAACCTTTTTGCAGAAGCATAGAATAGTCACAGGACGGAGAAAAGACCGTTTTTTGGCATGGTTAGAAGAACGGTTGTGCGAAGATGGTGGAGATGTGTTGGGTCCGCGAAACTGGCTTGCAGATGGTTCACGAATAGTACCTGTGCGCCATCCTGAGTTTCCCTATATCACTTACAATCGTTATTTCTCTTCCATTTCCAGTACTTCTTCAACTTCATCATCAACTCGTAGTCAGCGTTGAAGTTATAGCATATATCTTATTTGTAAGACACTGTGAGTCGATCAAAATTCCGGTTTTTTCCAGTAGTTTAGTGGATTTCTAATACTTCGATGGTTTTAGTTATAGCGTTTTGAATAACTGAGCTAAATAGTGTAAAAAGACGTATATTATATTATATTGCATCCAGGCTATACTCCATAATGTTTAAAATCCATGAGTTTATTCAGTTCACTTACACTTTGTCACTTTCATTAAGTGTAGAAATAAGTTCCTGAAAAATTAAAACATTTATATTTGGCAGGGGTCTGTGAAATTAACTTAAAAAATTTGTGTTTTGTTTCTCACCGCACTCATTTTTGTTCAACTTAATTGGTTTGAACAGGTTAGGCTTTTCAAGAGTGGCAGTTTAGGACCAAATATTTAATATTAGGTGAGGAAGCACGCTAAATAGCATCGAAAAGTAGTCACAGAATCGAGCTTCTTTCCAGTACTGATTGGTCTTCTGTTGCATTACATCTTATATATTTCCTGAATTTTTATTCATTTTACATCGATATGAAGAGTGTACAGGTTCCAGCCTATTCACTCATCCGAATTTTCACATCTTACAACATTATGTTATGTTCCAACAATGACGATGTTGACATTTCTTATCATATTCGGAACTTTTTTTTTTTTTTTTGTGCATAGATGTATTGATGTTGAAAGGGGATAAACAGTTATGGATTGTTTAGCTGCCACCAGAGAAACTAGATATTCTTGTCATTTGTTCTCTTCATTTTAAGTTTTGGGCTTTCTAAGTCCTTCTGAATCATTATATAGGAATATCTACTTTTAGAATTTATGAGCTCGATTAAATATGAAATACTGAATAGGACTAAATAAAACTTACACCTCTTAAAATATGGGAAAGTAATGGACTATTAAGGATGTCACTATGCACTTCTTAAGCAGAGGAAAGAAGGCGATGGCTTCATAGCTTATATATAAGCTTTTGGGGAACGAGCTGCAATTTGAAGAAATTTATTTCCATTGTGAATTAGATAGTACTTAAAAGTGGGACCATTATAATGCGAACGAGGAATGACAAATAACGATTATTGCACTTTATCGACTACGTATTAGAGCGATATCACTTGATGAAGATTACGAGGAACATTTCTTAAACTGCAACATTGGTTGAGAATTTTATAATTCGTTATTAACGAAATAGAAGCAAACGGAGGGAATGTTTATGTTTCAAGAAATGATCCTCTTACAACATATAAGTTATTTGAATAGAAATCGTAAGGACGAAAGCACAGTGCATTTTGTAACTCAGTAATGGACTGTATGTTTTTCCGCACAAAGTGGTTGGGATGAGTTGGAGAAAACTTGTAGTGAGGTTATCTTCGCAAGATTGCTTTAATTTCTTATTACAATAAATTGGAAACCGAATTTAATATATACAAATACATTACAAAATATAAGCTAAAAAGTAAGCTAGAAAATGACCAAAGTAATTAATTGCGCAATTATTCTCTGAACATGGTGGGGACACGGAATTAATAATAAATACAGTCATTTGTCAACAAAAGTTTTCAAATTCAAACAAGACATGAGTCAAGATACGGCGGGAATCTTTTATCCTTTATCAATTCTGTTTGCTATTCGTAGACCATATACAAGAAATACCTATATATGCTAGCTAGGAAAAACGAAAGAACTATCAGGTTCCACCGAAAATAAATGTGCGTGACATATGCATAAAATGAATAATGTAATGCAATCTCCAATAAATGCAAGTTCTCAAGTTATGTAAACACTCATTCCAAATCAACAAAAAGTGTATGATTGGCCTGAGCTTTTTAACGATGAGCAGATAATTATTAATTAGCATAGTTGGCATAGCTTTATGCATACATACTTTCAGCCAGGACCGACATTTTCAAGCAAATATTAACAAACTGGTTAAAATATTCCGCTAGTTCAGCAACTTCGCCATCCACACCTTCATCCGCTAACTCCCACGGTGAATATCGTGATGCTTCAACCGAGCAGCTTGAGCTTTTACTCCTGAATAAAGTGGAATATACAAAAAGTACACGTAAATGTATCACATATAAATTTTTGAAAACAATTCTGATCTCTAGGTCAAGAAGAAAAGTGTTTATTTAATTCCAAACTTACACCTTTTATAAAATTATGAAGCGTTCTCCTTTGTGAATTCAAAAAAGAAGTGTCATCATATGTGACTCCGTAAATAACTTTAATATTAAATTGAACTCTACTACAACCTATATGAATTTCAAACACTTCTAAAAATAAATCAAATTAGCAATTCTACTTGTGAATGAATATAAATCGACCTTTCCATAATGGATGGTTGCTCTGACAGTGTCAACCGCAACTCGTCAACATCGCCTTCTAATTTAATGCCCCAGAGTTTTTCCAAAACAGAAATGCGCTTAAGCGTTTCCACTTTTTTGCTCATTAAAGGTAATAAATACGGCTTATAACGATGTCGAGTACGACTGAAAATATGAAATCCTATAACCTGAAAACTAATCCAATCCTTGAGAATGCACTACTAAAGAACGGAAACTAAAATCACTAAGACATGACTTATGTATAATATAGTTATAAACTTCTTCCACAAATCTAAACGCCTTTGAAGAAGGAAGAAGAATTATTCCCTTCTCTTTTAACTGAAAACAGTTGCAAGCACAACACCTAACATTACAGTCGAGTCTCCCAACCTACTTGCGTTTTTATCAATTAAAGAAAAGTCACACAATCTCTGCTTCTTCAAATTTATTACAAACAAAAACTAAACCAGAAATGACAATATTTCGTCTTTCAACATTTCAAAACCTTAACATTCTCAATTCCTATTAAATGATTCGCAAATTGGATGACGTACGAAATAAGGAGCAATTTCAGAAACTTACTCTTTGAAAATACGGGCAGTGTAGCTCGATGCTGTAGAAGGTTGTTGCATTTTCTGACAGAGTAAAGTAGTTTTGAATGACTTTCTTGGTATTTTGCTGTCCCCGACATTTTCGGAATCTTTATTGTCAACCGCTTTCAATGAAAGTTTTTCAAAAATTGAAAGAGCTTGTTCTACAGTTGCCTTTACTTTTGTTTCTTCCATCTGAAACCAAACATCAAGCGAAATATTTTCACGGCTCTTCACATAGCCTTCTTCACAAGGACCATACACGTTCGATAATTCATCAGGTAAGAGATCGTTGTTTTTTCCACCTAAACTACAATGGTTTGGTAAATTAAATTAAGTCAACAGTATTTATAACTTCCCAATGGTTGTTTGAGAGAAGTCTTCAAAGCAAAGGTGCTGCTGTAACAAGCTGAGAAGCTTACCAAAAGTTTCTTTGGAATTAGTGAATGAACAAACTAAAAAAGAATACAAATTCAATGTGACAGGTCCCGATAGGAATGCAGCTACCAATAAAAAAGCGAACAGTCAGCTACAACGTTTGGCTAAAAAGTGAATTATACAGCACTTGTCGTATGTCCAGAAGTAGAAGTATTACTACATACACACATACGCACATACATACATACATACATACACACACATATACACACACACACACAGACACACACACACACCGATGACTTTCTTTGTCAGAAAACATGATGATGTGAAACGAGGGAGGTCGATATGCAACAAAACGATTCTTTTATGTTTGTCATAGCTCTCATTTCTCTTGTCTCAGGTCAAGGGTTATTTCTTCATATCGCTGCTCATTATCATTACTGGAAAGATGGAAATTATCAATCCCAATAAAAAGCAAATATTGTACGTTTATTTGGAAAATCTCCCATCATCTACTTCGTTGCTCAGCATTTATAATGACATTATTCAGTTCAAAAATATTTGTCGCAGCCCTGTAGTGTGTGTTAAAAATCCGTACTGATAGCATGTGTAGATTCATTTACAACAGTATATGTGATGGGTGGGATATTATTCCTTTCTGAACAAGTAACATGAAGTCTGCAAATCCGAATTGTAATATAATTTAATCAGTTTAATCACTTCTTGATTTTGGTGAATGGTATTGGAACGGATGCACCATGGAATGATAGTGAGCATTCTCGATTCACAATAACGGTTATTGATTTATTTAGGCGCGATTATTTTAGTCTTGTGGAGAAGCTTCCGAAATTTCAAATAGTCATTGTATATGCAAGTTTTATCTTTGACACTACAGTGTTAAAGAGTACTAATAGGGCTTTTGCAACACACTTGTATTTACTGAGTCTGAGATGAGCAATTCTTTGTTTAAGAAGGGAAGATAATTTATATTTTAATAATCAGTTCAAGAACCATTTCGCAACAACCATATTTTCTTTCGAAGCGAATCCACCATGAAATTATTGTTGACAACTGAAATATTCGTTCTCTGTTCACTATAATCACAAAATTCTGGGCAGTCCCGAAATCAGATGTTTCAGTACTGTTACAAAGGGTAGGAATTCGCTTCCATTTTTGTAATTCCCTATTCAATTATCAGCTAAAAACCGAAAACGTGAGGGCAACAATTTTGAATTACAGCCTCCTGTATGGTGATGAAGACTTATTTAATTCCTAAGTTCCTCATGATATGACTCATATGACGACCTCTCTAAGATCATTACCAATCTTAATTGCATGGAATAAAATGCTACGCGTCGGATTGTCTGTTAGGCTGTTTGAAAATTAAGGGATTCGAAGGCAGTATAATTTCGCCCTACCTCCCAGTATATTATCCACAATAAACATCTTAACATCTAATATGGTACCAACGGTGAGTGCTGAGGAACAGAAAGTAGGATATTCTCGGGAATATCTAAATGGATGTCATGTAAATACCCTGCACCTAATACCCTGAACCTAAAGTTTCATCGGCTAATACCCTAAAGTTCATCGGTTCATTTGTATGCCAGTATCACAAAACAGTTGGCTTTATTCCATTTATTATTTCTGTTTTTTTTCCGTAAACTATTTTGTACATTTGATCAATTTTGAATTCGTTTTCATTTTTTTTTTCACAATGTTAATGATCTTTCAGGGTGACAAATACTTTAATAATAATTTACAATGTTAGACCTCTCGCACTGTTGTAACGTTAGCAGTATCAAAAGAAGTCTGAAAGTCCAGATATACTGTCCATTTTAGGAAGTTTTTGGGGAAAACTTGAAAAGTGATATGCAACTGCAGAGAAAGTAGGCATTATCGAAATTATTAAGTTATGTTTGTTAGTGGTATCTCTCAGCAGAAAGGTCTGAATACTATTCAGGAAATATCGAAATGATAGTGCAGTGCAGTAAACAATAAGGAATTAGTAATAATGGGTCGATTTATTACAGGAGGACCTCTGCCTGAATTACTGATAATATTTATTGGTGTGAGGATATGAATACGAAAAGGTGAAAGGAATATCGGAGGATGAAGGAAGATTATGTCGGCCGGTCGTACAATTGCACCCTGTGTAATATATATATATCGAATGAATCGATCGGAAAGACACAGCTCGGACTACTCTCTCTTCCCGTCCTCTTCATTCACTCTGTGATTTCAGCGCCGTCCTTCCTCACTGCTACCGTTCGTTTAATTTTTGTAGAGATGAAGGATAAGGCCGCTGGTGATGAAGGATCCCCTGAAAGTATGTAAGTGGGTGTAGTAGACAAAAGATGGGTAATGAAGGCATTCAATTGAGACTTTTTTTCGTGTCCAAGCTGTTAGTGATCATATTAGAGAATGTTTCGAGTAGTTATTGCTTGTTCTTGCCATGGCCATTGCTTTTGTTACATTCTTAAGGTCAGAAGCTGAAGTAGGCCGAAAATTTTGCACAGCAAAAGAAGAAGAGCTCAAGAAATATTCTTTGTATTTATGGTGAGTCTTCAGTTTTTTATTTTTGTAAGGAGAATTCACTAAGTGGAACACTTAATCGGAGTCTAACACTAATATGCATTCACTTGCAGGTGTGATAGCAGCAATGCTAAAGAAAGAACTTCTAACAGCTGAGAATGATACGACGAATGGACCAACCGGCACAATCATGGTTGCCGATATCCGTTCTACGGATGGAAAGTATCACCGCATAGTGTTTGATCGGTCTAGGAAATTCCTCAAATTCACAATAACTGGGTGAGTTGAATCCTAGCAATGATTATATATTTTAATTATTTCTTGCTCAATCAGTAATTCAAATTATGTGTAAAAGATATTGGAATGCAGAAAATCCAGACTGAATTTCTACAAAATTTTTAAGAGGCGCTGGAGAAAACCAGCAAAGTATGTTGAAAGACTTAAATGAATTAATTTCTGTAAGAGGCACACCAGTTATTATCAAACGAGGATTGCCGATCGATTTAAATAAGGTAAACATTGCTTTTGTATCGTTGTTACTCTACTGAACTAGTGAAGAATCACTGATGGATTTCAGAATAATGTGTCCATTTCACGTGGCATTAAGAAGTAGGATTTTTATCAGGTATGATTAAATTAATCTTCGTGCTGGCTATTCTGTGTTTGCTGTGAATGGTAGTTCGTCCGCTGAGTTCTTTGTCCAATTTTTGGACAAAGGAAATTCATATTTTCGGATCAGCAAAAAATGAAATAAACTCAGGATCTCTATATATTACTGTCAAACGATAATATGTTTTGGATAAGGGATTTCAAATAAATCTAAGTTATAATGGCTCAGTTTCTCACATAAAATATGTTTTTGAATATCTGGCAGAACGTTAGTACATCTCTGATTATCTAAACATTTTTTTCCGTATTTTCTGTTCCTGTATTTATATTAAATAAACTATTTTGCATTGCTGCTTATATCGTCGGAAAAAATGCTCCTTCATTTATATAGCTGGCACAGTTCACACGAACTTCAAATTATTGTAGAATGCGAAACAAGTCGATACTCCAAATCATTTGTACTTTTATTTTGCTGAAAAGAGGAGAAAACGCCGTTGGCGTATTCGTACAATTACAGCTTTATTTACTACCACCGCTGATAAAAAGCTTTGGTTGGATGTTCTGGATTCTTCTCTTAATGGTATGCAATATATTACCTTGAAACTGTTACCTTGAACCAGTGTATGTAATACTGCATTTTAGAAGTGATTGGATCCACAGATGTTTGGAAAATTTAAAACAAATGAATAAGATTTGAATATTTTTTTAAATATTTGCTCAAGAAATTTTTGTTTATTTAAATTTTGGAGCAAAAAAAAAAAAACCAAGAAATTGTGTTTCCTTATTGTTTTAGAATTGGAGCAAAGACCGAAAACATTGTTGATATTTGTGAATCCATTTGGTGGTAAAGGCAAAGCCAAGAAAATTTATTCGAAGCAAGTGAGGTTTATTTAATTTTATCTCAGAAAAGGAAGTTTATAGTTGCAAAGGTCGTCATCGTCTATAAATCCAGCTCTATTTTCGTAGGAAGGTAAAATAATGGAAGTTTCTGAAGTCCCTTGCTTTTGCTAACTAATTTCCCATCTTTCTATAATATTTAATAGTGTAATTTTAAGTCTGGAAAGAAAAAAATCATTTATTATAATGCAACAAAATGAACTTTAGGTGGCTAAAATTTTGGAAATGGCTGAAATTCATTGCGATGTAGTAATGACACAGCGTGCAAATCATGCCTTTGATTATCTTAAACAGCTAGATTTTTCACAGTGGCGACAGATTGATGGTGTTGTTTCGGTGGGTGGTGATGGTCTCTTCAATGAATGTCTTTCTGCTATCGTTTGCAGGTGTTCATTTGATTTCAAAAACAAATTTAGGCAAACAGGAAGATATTTTAAATTTAATTAGCTAGTGACTACAATAATCGAACTTTTGTTTAATAATTGCGCAATTTTCTACATTTTTCAAGGCAATTTTTAAGAATATTTAAAAAATTCATATTTGTTTCTTAGGGGACTTATCATAACAGATGACGCTTTGTTGAGTCAACTTTTAAATAAATTAAAATTACCTTAGTTAGATTTCTCTGCTTCGTAATGCACGTTAGTGGATGTTCATGTTTCTTTAGGTCAAACTGTCTTTTTATTTTTGTACAGATATTTGAGTCTTCCTAACCTTTTTCATTTTTATTGAGTTACGCAGATTGTTTATTCATTTCTGTTATTCCTACACATTTCCTTCTCGAAAGTTTTACACTTTCTTGAAGAACAGCGCACTGAAAAGTTTAATAAGGTATAAAGTAAGGTTTCTTCAGCTACTCATTTTTCATTGGATACTAGTATCCTCTGTACAGCTGATATTAAAATTTTTAGAACACAGGAAGAAGCTGGAAAAGATATATCTGATGTTAACATTGATATCCTAAAAACGCCACGAATGCGTTTTGGTATAATTGGTGCTGGTTCTGCAAATTCGATTGTTTCTTCCGTTCATGGCACTGATGATTGTCCAACTGCTGCTATACATATCGCGCTTGGTAAGTTTTTAGACAGTTTTTTCTAAAGTTAGAAAAGAAGTTTGAAACTTCAAAGAAGTTGCTTTTTACTTCAAAAACTTTGGTTTTTTTCTCTCAAACTTGGATTCGCTTTGCTGCAAGAAAAAAAAAATGAATAATGAAAACTAGGATTTTGGGAAAAACTACAAACTTTTCATAATTATCAGAGATTGAGCCATTGTTTATCTTCCACTAGATATTACATTCGTCAATCCATTTTAGGTAGTAAATGTTCGGTAGACGTGTGTACGGTCCACAGAGGTGATGATCTCATGCGGATATCTGCAAATGCAGTCTCATATGGTTGGCTTGGTGATGTACTAGCCGATTCTGAGCGATATAGATGGATGGGACCTCTCAGATATCAATATTCTGGTATGTTTTGAATTTGAATTCGATGGGATCGGTTTTCATATTTTATTTGCTTATCTAGGCACTTGTTATTGTGATCGATAAATAGAGTTTCACTTCATATAGCATGTTTCAGCCTTACGAACAACAATCCGTAACCCTGCTTATTTTGGTCGTGTGTCGTTTAGCTTAATCCCGGAAGCTGCTGGAAAGAATGATTTAAGTGTTTTGCCGAAATGCACTAATCCATGCTCTATTTGTGACAAGTGATTTTTAAATTGTAGAAAAAATCATAAATATACTCTTTCCAGAAATGGATGTAAAATAGAAATATTATAACAACGTTTGTCTTTAACTTAAAGTATTTCCTTTCTTATTACCATTCTTTTTCTCATTTGTTCCTCTACCGCCTCATTGTCTAAGTAGATTTTTTAAAGTTACGCTCCACAGTTATGTGGGACAAGCTTATTTACTAGGGAGGACAAGTTCATTTACTATTTTCCTATAATTGATGGGATATTTCGTTTCTTTATAATGACTGCTTGACCTGTCAATGTGAACATAAAACTTAGCCTAGAAAACCATAATCCTTTTACCAGCTGTAACTTCATATAATGACATTCACTTTTTCCATAGGTCGCGATTTAACATTCTTTTGCAGAAGTGTTGAAGCTGATAAGAACTACCCGTTCCATTTACAAACTGAATTTTCTCATATTATATGTTGCGTGGTGCCATGTGTTAGTCCGTTTACACCGTATGGATTGGCTCCGTTTACTGGCATTGGTGATGGAAGCATGGATTTAGCCCTGATTCCTCGAATTTCGCGGTGTTCCAATTTGTCATTCATTCGAAAAGTTGCAATGAATGGACCAAAAAGTGTTTTGTCGATGGGTAATAAGTTAAATGTTTTCCGAGTTGCTCGCTGGGCATTCACCCCTGCTTCTTTGCTTGAGCATGTGAATGTTAATGACTCCCTGGATGCGACTGATGCTCAGGGTTCATGGAATTTGGATGGAGGTTTATTCTTCACTTTTCTACTTTCCTAATTTCGGTCGCTTTCAATAAGTATAAATTATTCCAGCGTATTAGTACAGATTTGAGTAGGAAATAAGTATTTACACAGAACTTTAAATTAAAGTTTAAAAGTGTTTGTTTTTAATTTCTTTTAAAAATTTATGAGAATTTCTTCTTTTTATTACGCGCCAAATATTTAATGCCAGAAATTTTATTTTCTTTTCTGGTTTAATCTTTGCTTTGCTGATTGTTTTAATTTTCAGAAATATTACCACAACCGAAAGATGCTACATTCCAATTCAGGTACGTCTTTTTTTTTTTTTTTTTTTTAAGTTTCATTTTCAATATTTTAAAAGTTAATTCCCATTTTTATTTTTATATGTGTCTATTTATTTACTTATTTATTCATTCACTTCGTTTCACTTGTCAATTTTATTCATTCAGTTAATCAATTTGTTTGGTTGATTAATTAATTGATTTAATTAATTGTTTAATTTATCCGTTAGGTTGCACCCTCGGTTGATAAAATATTTCGGACGCGAGGTTGATTTGCATGCTTCTACAAAGCGAACTGGTTGCTGGTCGCGAGATTACCGAAAGCTGTCGAATATTGTTAGAGTACAATTGAATCAGTAACCGTCTGTTTCTACTAAACTCTTGATTTTTTGATTACCCGAGAGCAGTGATACTGAGAGTTCATTCATATTTGTTTGATTTTGTGAACGTGCTCTTCGTTCTATTGCAAAAAAAAACTAATGATACATAAGATACCGGGAAAATGGAAGAATGGATTAAAAAGTTGCGGCAAGAAATTTGTGATAAGACAATCATGATAACGATGGTAACTTAAGTTCATTAAGTAAAAGCATTACTTTTATAAAGTTACTAGTATTACAGGGAAAGCAGTATAGGGTATCACATGTTTTTATATACTTTTTTAAAGCAGTAAAGTACCGGAATATTTTATTAATACTTGTCAAAACTTTGTTACAATTGTTACTTAACTTTCATAAATTTAGCAGCTGTACTTGTTATTTTAGCATTCTGTAATGATTTTATGTAGATCTTGTTTTGAAATGTAAATTTATAATATAATGTTTCATGATAACATTGTATAATTATTCTTCTCTGCGCGAAACGATTGCCCGTTTTTCCATGACAAGTGCTTTTATTTTCAAGTGCTTTATTGCTGTTCTGGAAAGTAATGCCTGGCAAAATAGTTTTACTAACCATTTTTTTAATACTATCGTTGGTTGTTTCTTTGTTTTATCTGTATCTCTTCGCAAATCGCCGTGCATGTTTTATGAATGCACTTTGTTACTAACGAAAGGTTTACCAGTGGTAGGTTGATGGTTGGTTTAATGCAAAAAGAGTTTCACTTAGTTCTAATTAAACATTTTAATAATGTTAAGTGGTAATTAACTTCGTCATGTTTTCCTTCATATTTTGATTACGAATAAAATTTATGTGAGATAGTAATGTCTATATGTCATTGCAAATATTTGCCTTTAATACATATCTGGAAGTAAATATTAATTCTAAATGTTCTAAAAAATTAATGGGTAGGTGGCTAATAACGGTATAATACTACTCAATTTGGAATTATAATATCAAATGGGAGGTTTCTGCAGGTTGGTTTCGATGAACCGTCGTCTCTCTTCAAATTATTGCACAACCGTTTGTCAAAAAAGTGGCGTGGAAGTTCTGCGTGATTTCAGTTGGAGCGCTAAAGTATTAATATATTACTGGTGTCTTGGTTTTAGCGAAGTGTCGAAATCTGAGATTTTAAAAAAATTGGAACATTTTGTTGTGTTAAGAAAGATTTATAAGTTTGAATAGTTTGAATATAAACCTGTCTTGCTTATTCCTATTTGTGTTGCTGAATTGTGGGTTGTATTATACATCTTCTGGATTTAAGTTGATGCTGCCTTTTAACTAATTTGAGCCAACATGGAGGATTTGTTATAATTGATCTGAAATATCAAGCCTTTTGTTAAAGTTAGTTCTATTCAAATACTTTTCCAACTATATAAGTTAATGCTGTTTTTTAGTTGGTTGGTGATTGTGATACAGCACTCGGGAATCTCAGACCTATAGTTGTGCTTACGTTACATTTTATTGAAGGTGCCACCAGAACATACGAATTTACTGTGGAAGAAGTAACCGAACTTTTTTGAAGTTCATAATGAGTGCTTAAATTTCTGAATAATATTAAATAGTGCAATGCTAAATTAGAGCATAATTTTTCCTTTTATATTCAGAAGGAATGGGATTTTTAAGCTCTTAAGTTGATGCAGTTGTCTTTAAATATCATCCAGAATTTATGAACGTAACAAGTTATTAAGGAATCCAAATTTCTGTTATAGTTGAGGCGCTTTATTGGCGATTTGGAAGAAATCCTGCAGAAATTTAATTAGAAAATGTATCCAAAATTATCACCGGGGTAAGCACTTTTCAACATATATCCGCAAAGATTTCATCTTAAAACTTAGAAATTAAAAATTTTTTTTGTGTAGAACTGATTAATTAGCGACTCTCATTGTTACTGCATTCTTTCATTTAAGATATATTACGAAGTCAACCGCCATTATCCTGTCATCTTCCACGTTTCTGTATGGATTTATGGAGTATATCACAGGAAATGAAGTCTTTCAGCGGAAGCAAGTAAATATTTTCTGAATCTAAAATTCTGATAAAATTTCCAGAAATTTTAAAAGTTGTGAAATTTTGGATGTTTGGTTAATAAAATCTTTTTACTTGAATCCATATTAACCGTTGTTCCTTACTCAATTTAACTGTTGCTGAGTTTTCATTATAATTTATAGCAACTGTATTTGAACCACCTAAAGGCGTGAATGCTCCAAATGTTTAAAGGTCATAATTGAGAATCGTCTCCAACTTATACATTATAAAAATTACACAGAAAGCTATAAAATAGCTATTTTTGACTTATCAGTAATTTATAACACGCAATATATATCTCAACTTATATGTATTGGCATTCCACAGCTTAACTGTCGAACCATCTGAACTAATGATAATAACCGGTAAACGGATGGAAGCAAACTGCTGATGCCTTTTCCGTGCATGTCCACCCAGATAGCAACACGTGTTTCATTCCAGTAGTCCTATATTTTAACAAAGCTTTTAACAAGAATATTTGCACCCAAAATCAGATATGGTGCATCAATCTCCCACAACACCATGAATTGTACAGCTTTTTCATGATTTTCCAGAGTGAAATTTGCAAAGGTGTTATCTTTTGAAATGAAATGATAACTGCATTACATAATGATTATGATTTGAAATGAAGTTACGACAAAGATGAATTAAGCTACCATGTCTGGGAATAATCCAACGTCATCCTTCTTTAATCATATTTTTCATCTTCATTGCTTCGCACTCTGTTTATTATCCCAATCCCAAGATTTCTCTTCTTTGTCTGGAAATAACATTAAAAACTGAAATTTTATGGTTATATTTCCAGCTTATGCCTTTATTGAACTGCATATTAAGACCAGAATTAACAGTACGGTTTAATATTTATTTGGCAAAGCATCGTTTGTTACCACTATTTAGTCACAGTTATCGGGAGCACTCCGAACTTAATTGTAATGTGATGAATATGCACTTCAAGAATCCACTTGGATTAGCTGCTGGCTTTGATAAAGGTAAAGTTTTTTTTGAATTTCTGACTCTGCAGATACTGAAATCCATATTCAACAAATGTTATAAATTTGTCTATCAGTGATATAGTCGAGATACTTTAAGCAAATAGTTTTCGGCAGTCACGCTGTTTGAATTTTCTAATCCTTTACTTTTCTTGTTTGTATTTATGAATCTGTTGTTTTAGTTTCCTTTTTCTAGATGCTGAAGCAATAAAAGGTTTGAGGGAAAGCGGTTTTGGTTTTATTGAAGTAGGCACCGTAACACCGTTGCCGCAGAAAGATGCCCATAACTCTGTGGTTAAACTTTTGTTCAAGGATGAAGTGAGTTTTCCTAATTTCATTTTCACAAGTGGAATCTTGAAAACAAAAGTTTTTTGTTAAAAGATGTGGGATGTATGTATCTAAAATTTGTTGCTCTTTAATAACAGTTTTAAACATTGATAAACGCTTGATGAGGAATGATGTATTTTGAGTCCCAAATTTCATTTGTATTTTGGTTCGACAACATGGTTGTAAAGTGCCGGAATTTTTCTAATGTTCAACAGAGTTACTTAATAATAAATGATTTTTTTTTGCAAGAATTCTGTAAAGTTTTTTGATATAGAGCATGCCAGTTTTTATAATGACCGGTGGAGCATTTTCGGCTCTGAAGGGAGATTTGATTCAGTGTCAAATAATATTCTAGAATCTCCGGACAGAATTTTATTCTATGAATATTTCAGGGATATCTAAGTTGTGGCAAATTTAAAAGCGCAGGATTGAGTATTGTATATTTGTTTGTTAAAAGAGCTTATGATCGAAACGCCGATGTCCCGCTTGGTGTAAATATTGGCAGAAATGCAGTTCGTAATTAACTTTTTGATTGTATTTTTTTCTGAAATTGTTTTCACTATATTTTAGGGATATTTTAGAAATTCAATCAATCATGAATGACACTGACAATTCATTTTTTATGAATATGTTTGATTCTGGATATGTATGTTTCCATATTTTGGTTTCTAAATCTTCAACTAATTTCGATTATTGTAATTAATTCTTTCGACGAGAAACACCCCGTCTTGATAATATTTCAGTATCTAGAGAAAATAAAGAATCATTGTTAGTAGATTTCTCCTGTTTAGGTTGAAATAAGTTTATGATTTTATGATTATATATTTTCCTGAAATTATTTCAGTAGTTTTACTGTTACATACATAGTGTGAAGACGGGAGGAAAGCAGTGAGGTTATAGAGATACACATTTTAAATATTTAAAAATTTTGCTTTGTAAATAATAGTCTTCATTTTTTTTGCATGTGAAATTTCTAGCAAGTGAGAGCCTTTTTTTTTTTTAGGGATTCACTGAGCTTAAAGTGGATTACAGTCTCGGTGCTTATTATTTTGGTCGTTTTAGTAACTATTTGGTTGTGAACCTTGGTAGCCAGAATGGTTCAGAGACAATTGCTGATATGGAAATTGTAAGTATGTCTGTTTCGTTTTTAATACTTTCAAATTATTGCTGTTAATAACTATGTGATGTTTTAGGCATTGCAGGGCGTTACTTCTGCTGTCTATCCAATAGTACAGACCAACGGACCTCCACCAAAAATTCTGATAAAAATTCCACCTGATCTGTCAATTATAGACCTGAAAAAAGTCATCAAGGTTTCTTTTATTGTTGGTGAATTGCTTTTTTCAAAAACGCAAATTTTAAAGCTATGTTTCTAATTACAAGATATTTTTTTATTTAAGATTTCTCTTTGTAAATAAAATAATAGTTTGAAGATAGTGCTAAATAAACGATATAATGTGGATGGCATCATAATTTCGAATTCCACCACGAACCATCCGAAAAATCTTCAAAGCGTGCTACTGGAAGACGGTTTTTTGAGTGGCAGGCCACTACGAGATATAAGTACAAATTGCATACGAAATGTTTACAGGTATCTTTGGATGTTTTGTAGAACGCCGGTTAGTATTATTCGGATGTCGTCTTTAAAATTATTTTTGAATATTTGTTGTTTATTGAAAGTAAAATATCAGATTTCGTGAGTGCGCTTTAATTTAGTTCAGCATTGTTTCTATTTGTTTCTAATTTATGTGATTTCTTGGAAATCATTGGAATTTTCATTTCATTATACGTAAAACACTTTATTAGAATAGAATTTCTTTAATTCAGTTGAATTCTGTAGTTTATCACATGGGAAAATTCCAATCATTGGTTGTGGAGGTATATCAACCGGTCAAGACGCATACGAAAAAATTCGAGCTGGAGCAAGTCTTGTGCAGCTTTATTCATCACTTCTTTATCAAGGTAGGAAATTATAGATGTTTTACGCTATAGTTCACTTCATATTTGAGAGAAAATTTATATCCGATGTTACTTGTTTAATCTCTTATTCACAGTAGAAATATCATTGTTAGTATATTGCATTCAATGTACTTAGGTGACAATAATATACTACGTATATTGCATGTAAAATACCTAAATTGATACCTATTCTTACTTCCGTAGTACAGTTGTTTTTAGGTGTAGTTGTTTAGTTCTATAATATACAGTCTTTACTGTGGAAGTGTTTGAATACATTTCAATCATTTTTTCTTTAATTTGATGGATTACTAACGTATTTTATTGCTATTTGATATTTGATTTCATGATTCAGAAAAGATTCAATTCGATATTTTTGTAATATTGTCTTAACTTAACTAGTGAGGCATCTGTGACGAAAGTAGTACAAGTTCTTTTTTAGGAAAAAGTGATGTAGGAATTTTGTATGCGACAGGTTTTTTGAAATTTCTAACTTCCGATATGGACTTTTCTAGCTTTATAACTTTCTTCTAACAAATTTAATAGGATTTAGCAGCTGTTATTTCTAGCGCCTGGGAAAGATCCAAAAGCTTAGAAACGAAAAACTGAAAGCAAAATGAGTAGTGAGATTTCTTATTATACGCAATGTCGGCAACGTTTGTCTATAGCATTACTCCAATTTGCCGTTAATTTAATGCGTAGATGGAACATATGAGGCATAATTAGAAATGCAAGGAAAAATTAGTTTTAGACTTCTTTTCCGAGTTCTTCATTCCAATTCCATCCGTTTCACTCGACCATGATTCTTCTTCTTTAATGAAGTATAAAGTTGTAAGGTTTACAGAATTTCTATTTGGGTAATTAGGTTATTTTTTGAAAAATAATGACTAGCGATATTACATATGCATTTTATTGAATGCCATGTTCAATTATATGTGTTGATTAATGGAAACTATGGGTTTTAATTGTCAATCTTTTCATTTTATTCCTACATCTTTGTTTTTTAAGCATTTCCTAAAACTTTAAAGGAATTCGCATTATTGTTTTACTGGTGCTTCTTTCAGGTTTTCCAGTTATAGGGCGGATAAAACGGGAGCTGGTAGAATGCCTTGCTCGAGATGGTTTTCGCAATATCTCTGAAGCGGTCGGTGCTGATCATAGGAAATAATAATAATGTGTAATTTGAATTCTTGCCATATCGTATTTTAGTAGTCGTTATATAGTGAATGGATGTAACAGTCTTCCAGCATTAAGATAGTTTATATAGTTTAATATGTACTTGTTTTCATATAGATGCAATAAAGTTCTTCTGTACCTGTGAGTTTGTGCTGTTATGAATGGAATTTTATGCTAGTGTTAATTAAGTTTTAAATCGTTTTGTTGAATTCAATAAAATTCATTTAAATCTCTTTTAATAGCAGGTTTGTCTTTCGTTCGTTTCCTGCATTAATGTTGCCAAGAAGTTGGATAATCAGTGGTGCATGCAATGTGATGAAGTGATATAGGAAGCAGTAAATGTTTCAGTAACAGTATCAGTGTAGGGATGTATCGTTCCTTACCTACGTTATTTTTCAAACTTACCATCATCACGTTCAAAGTGCCAGTCAAGTTGGATTGTTGAGCCGAGATGGATTGTTAATTACAAGTACAAGGCTGAGTTGCTGCGGTTGCGGGTGTGTGTTTTAATGTCTTCTCGTCTCCACTTGCTGATATCCTTTTACTCCTTTGCTAACTTTCTCATTTTTCTCTATGCTTTCAGTCTAGAACTGCACTGGCACCATTATTTCAGTCCTTCATTACTGGATAATAATTTTGCATTTTAGGCGAATTAATTTCTGCATTTTCAATGTGCTTTCCCCTACTAACCCATTAACAACTAGCCAGTGGCAGTGGCACCTCAACCAATTTACACTTCAACAAACCAGTGAACTGAATGAACTGAATATATTTGTTTGAATGTGTGCAGAATCTTTTCTTCCAGTCTTGTGCAAGGGTTTTCTCCTGTGCTTGAAAGTAATTAACGATATCAACCGACCGGTGTCCATTACTATCTCTTGATCTTAAGTCGATTACCTGTACCAAATTATCTTCTAACAGCGCTGTCCATTCCATTTCATACTTTTGGTTACATAAGGTATGCACAGAAGTCAAAGTTTACTAGACTCGAAAACTCAGGTAAGGCTTTGTTCGTTTTTTTTTTCTTTGTTTTGGCATACCAATTTTTATTATTGTGTAGAAACTCATTTCGACAAAAAGAAGTTTATATTCGAATTCTGTTTTAAATTTGTTGAGAGAGAGTAGAAAATAGGTTGTTGATTTGTTGGTGGTTCAGTGTGTACATAAGGTGAATCTAACAAGCTCCAGTCATTTGTCCTTAATTTGAATGACTTTTAATATTTGGTTAGGAATGGGTGGCATACCTTAGTAAATAGAATACATACGTTTATCTTTTCCCATCATCACGTGCTATATGTAGTTCATTACTGGTATGTCCAGTCCTTTGGGATCATAGGAAATTTTGAAACAATCATGAGATTTTAGTATATGACATTTCATGATCCGAAATCAAATTCCAAGAGTATATTTGCAGTTGTTAATTATTTGCAGCAATTACTTATTGAATCAAAAAACTACTGGCACTGTTTGTTTTCATTTTGAGAAAGATGGGTTTCAGTTTGATATTTAAAATGACTTTTGCTAGTTTGATATTAATGAAAACAAGGAAGACTATTATAGGAAAATTTGCTCAAATCTCTCTTACTCGAGTCCTTTTACATTTTTTATTGTAATGCAATCTTTTCTTTATCAATAAAAAGATTTTGCCGATGAAATCTTAAATGATTAGAACAATCAGCATAAGAAACCCATGCGAGAAGAGAACGAAGCCTTTGCATATGTTTGATTTTACCATTTTAAAATATAAAGAGAGAGAAAGGAGAAGGAATATAAATGCTTGAAAATTTAATTATCGCTCATTTCTTAAATTGATCATTCTTTGGTCAAGCAAGCTAGCCAGCCAGAATTATTATTGCTGTTCCCGAATTCTCTCTGTTCTAAAACGCTCTTACCTTCACTTAATTTTGCACAAGCATTGCACGAAAATGAATCAAATAGAAGAGTGGAAATTTTTATTTTAATTAAAAAAGAGAGGCGAGGAAAATTAATTGTTACGAATGTTGAGAAGAAGTAGAGGGAGCGATAGCAAAAGGTATAGGGTAAGCAGTTACTATTAAAATAAGGACACTGTTTTTTGCACAATTAATTAAAATAGCAGTAATTTTATTCGCCATGAGCAACTCTTCATTCTGCTACATCCTTGCTTTAAATTCACATTTCTTTTCCTTTAAAAAAATTCTCAGTCTTTGAAAATTCATAATTTATGAAAAGCCTGTTTAATAAAAGAAGTATTTTATGCAGAAAATTTTATTTTCTTTCGGTTTTCATGCACTATTACTCTCATAAAATTGTACCGAGAAAGTGCGATGGATGAAGGCTGAAGGTGCAGGAGCAGTACAAGATTTTGGAATATTGGAATTAGTGAAGTTGAAGTCGAACGATCTGAACGGCTGGTGCTGTGATAGTATTTCAGTACAACGTACACATGGGTTTATAATCTATTTCTTAGTCTTTCCGAATCCTACATTGAGCATCTATTGTGCTTATTTGTTTCAAATTTTCAGCAAAAGTCAATGCACACATTCAATGACATACGTAATTATTGGACAGGTAGATAAATGACCAAAAGTAGATAATAGATAGTGATACTGTTACAAGTTACTATTATTCCAGATATCACCGATACTGGTGAAGGTCACCAATTTGCGTGCAGTATTAGCAATCAGATAAAAGCGTGTAATTCCTTTTCAGACCACTTTTAATTCTCGAAAAAACAAACTTCTAAAATTTATTTCCTTCCAAAAAAGAAAACAAGGAAGAATAAAAGAAAAGATTATTTAAAAAAAAGCAAAAAAGTATGAGAAGTAAGAGTTTTTTAAAATATGAAGTGATGATTTACATTTATCAGCTTGGATTTCTCATCTACTTCTCAATCTCTCCGAATAATTTTTTGAATTTCAAAACTCATTCTCAGCATTGGTTTTCTGATGAGAATAAGTGCTTAATTATTTTTCAGATAAAAGAAGTAATCCGTAAATAAAATCAGTTTCCCTGAATTTTTTGTTAGTCATTGTACTACACAGCCATTTCTGGCAGCACTTGGAAAGATTAATGAAACAAAGTACTTATGTTGAACATTATTGCAGTTATACTGTCCAGGTCGCTTGTCTCATTCAAAGCATTTAAAAACATACCTGAAATACCTGAATTGAAATCTAATACTGTAAATGACAGCGCGCAACTGCTAACAGTGCTTCAAGTGAGCTCTGCAAGGTAACCTTGGCATTTGAAAAACTTTATTTTTCGTCTTGATTTTCGTCTTGATTCACCAAAAATCAAGTTTTTGATATAAATTTTATCTTTTTGCAAGATTTTTACTTTTTTTACAAGATATTCGAATCATGTGTCCTGTATGAATGGAGTATTAAAGTAACTCATTTGGTTGATAAATATTTATTAATTAATAAAAGAAGTTAAATTAAAAGATTCACATGTCATCTATTCGATTTTATGGGTCTGTTTGTATATTATACCAGTTTTTTCCTTTATTTTCATTTCTCTAGTCTCATCTCTTTTAAAATTCTTACTTCCAATTAAAAAGAGCTGAAAGCAATAAAGCGTCCAGGCTCACAAGGCATTTTTAAAGTGGTTGCACTCTTACACTCTTCATGTGGTGTGAATTATCTCCTGGAAGTTCAACCTGCAAAAATTTTTTTGAGTAACTCAAATTTCTCTATTTGCTAAATGATGAAAAATCATCAGAAGTATTATTGATTAAGGTCACGCATTAAATTTATTTTAATTTGTTTCACTTAGCTGAAGTGGCATGTTTTTTGGATTAAGACAAAATGAAGCTTCAACCATTGGCGATCTAATAGATCAATCTGACTAAGGCTCAATATGAAGCCTTAATGAGTATGTCTATTTATGTGTTCAGTGATATAATTCTCTAAGGGAGTTAGCTCTCTGCTGTATATTTCTGCATATGTTTATCTGTGTCCTCGGTGTAAGTGAACGCCGAAATATTAACTGAAGGAACTTTTCACTATAATCCTCTTATCACTTTTATTTTATTATTATATATTATTATAAATTATTATCTGTTGCTATTATTATTAATTGTTGCAATCATCAACATGACATATAAGGGCAAATGAGAAAAAGCTCATCTTTGAATGATAAAGGGGACGTTGATGTTCTCATTCTAAATTCCCCGCTTTCGTATCTTCCTTATCCTAAATAAATTTGAATTAACTCTTGGTTTCCAATCGAAGCTCATTCATTACTTGAGACCTGATGGGAAGTGAAATGTTTGGCCACGACAAATGTTCATTATCATTACATTTTCATGTAAAGATAATAATAATGTTCATTATTATTATTTTATTAGCAGTCGTTTAAATCTTATTCCTAATAGCGCCCCAAACTCCAAAGAAATCTAATTTACATTATGTTAGATGTGAGATCAGCAAGATATTGTTGGGTAAACAAATAACCAGTTAATCCGATAATTAGCACATTTCTCTGGACCCTGTATTTGTAATCTCTTTTTAGAGATTTATAATCTCAGAGATGGATAATTTATATCAGAAGAGTGAGAGGACAAGATCAGTTAGGGAGGAAAATAGCTCAAATACTGAAATCCATCAGTGTTTAATATTGCAATTTTCCCCTTATTTTAAATTTATACAGTCATCATATTTCGGAAGTTTATCACTTCTAGTTTATTTTCATTAGTGACGATTTTCAAAAAAGCTCAACAGTTATAGTAACATCAACGATTATCTATAGCTGAAAGTATCCAACCATTTGCTGTAAGTAGTTGATATTTTAGCCATCCGATAAACAAACCAAATTATCTATTTGAAAAAACTATCAACAATGCTGTCCCCGGCATGGCCATTAAGCATTGCCACTAGGACAGGAAATGAACGGACACTTCGGATGCATTTACTAATAGACAATTGAACTCACTCACATGTGACATTTTGTTATATACACTTAACCCATCAGCTTTTTGGTTGGCAATAGTCATGCATGTCTTTTACAGAC